GATACGTACATGTTTTCTCTGTTAAATCAGACGCTTTCATCCAAAATGTAACTTATTGTTGACTTCATACACTTGAAGATAAGGGTTTCACTGTTTTAGAAAGTGTATTACATAATGCAAGGTGTGATCTAGAAGGGGATGACCAAGTGAGGGTTAGAAAGAGGGATGGAAGTTGGAATTACTTAACAAGTGCGGAAAACTACCAATCGTTCTGAATGGACAAGACGAATAAAAGCTAGTGAAAAAGTGGTGAAGTGTTTATATAAAATCTGTGTGAAAAATACATTACTATTAATAAACATTAATATTTATAGTTATAATAATAAACTAAAATAATAAAATGCAACAAAATTATGGCAGAAACGTTACTGTGGCCGCAGTAGTGCAAGTGAGAGTATTTAATGGTTTTGAACACAGAGTTCCTATTTCATGTTGCGAATAGCTAGTGATGTGGCAGTGTATAAATGACGTATTCAAAAACTTTTATCGCGATATTGAAGAATTGCGTGTAGCACTGTGAAGCAATTATGCGGTGTTGCTCGATGCTCAGAGCTGACAAGCTGCTCGAGGATACAACTACTGGTATTCCTCCTTTCTTTCATGACTGGCAAACTTGACGTTGTGTATGGTCGACATACTTTGCTCCAGTGGAACAAGTTAGCTGACAAATACGCAATGAGTTGGCTAAAATTGTTGTCATATACTTAACGCATGACTAAATTAACTGTTTGCTAGTGAATATGATTCGTAAGATGGCTGCCTGAAATGTTTTCTTCAGACACTCGGAAAGACAGTTTCTAAGAATATCTGTTTCAGTGTCACCTCTGAAATCTAGGTTCATGTATAGAGTTTTCTTAGGAACAGTCGCAATCTTTAATGACGAAGTTTTCTGTCTTATGCTTTTGCCGAAATCTTTTGGGTATATGTCCATCCTTCAGTAGTGACAAGTAGGATTTTAATTCAATTTCTATCGTATCTTCCGAAAAGATATTTCCAATCCTTGAGCATAAGGTACATACAAAATTTTGCTTTCGGACCAGTGGGAAAGCTATGGAAGTTACTAAATATTCCAAACCATATTGGTTTTCACTACATTGATCTTTGAATCGAGTTGTGTTGTCTTCTAGTGAATAGCACATCTAGGAATGGAAAAGGCATGTCTGATTCATGTTTTAGGGTGAATTTTACTGAGGTGTGTACTGTGTTGAAAGTGTTTAGGAGATTGTTCATGTCAAATTTTTCATCACGAATTAAAGAAGTATCATCTGTGTTACTTTTGTAGAGGTGCGATTGCCCAATCAAAATATTGAGGACGTTGCTTTCAAGACTCTCCATGGAACACTAAGCTAGAAGTAGAAAAAGAGGAAAGGGTTGATTTAATTTCATAAGCTTTAATTCTTGTTCTAGACAACATCTTCAGCGCTTACTTTGGTGTGAAACACAAGCTTACCTTCACAATTCTCGAAAATTTCTGAGCTCGGAAACAACAACCAGTGTGTCTCAACAAATCTGAAGTTAAAACCAACTACAGTTCTATTTTACATCACCTCGTTCAAACAGGCCACAAAGCCTGTATCTTCTATCGGGTATCGAATAAATTAACAAAGGCCTCTAGATACCGAACACTCCAAACAGCAGAGGCTATTGCAACTCACTTAAATCAACTGGAGCTTTATGTGCAGAAGAAACTGATTCAGCCACTATTGCTGCCTTAGCCTGCAGTCTAACCTATAAATTAATAAATTATCTATTATTTTCCTTAATTTATCTGATGTTCACTTCAGTATTATATTATTATTGTTTCCTTGGATCTCGAGTGGAACATAGGACTTCAATAACATATCTCCACTTTCTTCTATTTTTCTGCTCTCTTCTTCATCTGGCTCCACGAATGACCATAATCTCTCATCTCCTCCAAGTCACACGATCTCCTCCATGTCACCCTCGCACCGATGACCCACTCATCGCTTCCCACTGGGATTCCACTCGAGCCATGGCCCGCATTGCGCGCGATGTCACTCGATGGCCTCCTCAACGTATGCCCGATCTATCTCCATCTTCTCCTACATATTTGTTGAGCAGTCAGCTCTTGGTTGGTTTGTTCCCACAGTTTCTTGATACTAATTCTTTCTGGCCATTTGATCTTCAGTATGGAGCCAGCGAAGTGGGCAGCTGTTGATAAAAGTCTGGTTGGCTGTTGGAAATGCTTTTCGTGACACGTATAAAAGAACTGACTGACTTCACATTTGTGTTGAACAGAATCCAAATCTTGTTCTTTATCGTAAGGCGGAGTGCAGATTATTTCCAAACTGGTTTCAGGTTGATGAAAGTATATCTTGCCTTTCCGATTCTGGCTGGTTGTGACACCTTTATCCGTTCCAAGTGTCTGTGATTGAAACCGTGTTTCCTAGATAAGTGAAGGAAGTAACCTCTGCCAAATCTCTCCCGTTGATGGTGATTGGTGCTGGTTGTTGTTGCTGTTGATTGGTTGTTGGTTATCTTCATTACCTCCATCTACACATTCTCTATGTTCACCTGGAGTCCTGTCTTCGCTGCCTGCCATGCCTTTTCTGCCAGTTTGTTGTTTTTCGCCTGCAAGTCTTCGAGTTTGTGTGATATTAAACATAAGTCATCCATGCGCGAAATCCAGATTCTTATTATCGTTGGTTCAGCGTACTCCTGTCTTTCCGCTCCCTGTGCATAGTCTCACTCATAATCCAGTCCACCACAATTAAGAATATCATCGTGGACAATAGGCAGCCAGCCTTGTCTTACTCCTGTATTCACTTCCAACACCTCGCTGAATTTTCCATTGTGGATCCTCTGACACGTAGCATTGTAATATAGACAGCTGTTAAATGAGGTAAATAAAGATTCGGGCACTGCATGTCATGTGTTGAAGCAGTTTCCTCATTACTTCTTGGTCAACCCTATCGACGGCTTTTTCAGAATCAATGAAGTTGAGGTACAGGTTTTACTACTATTCTGTACTCAGTTCCAATGATGATGATAATGTATAGAGCTGCTATTTTATCCTCACCTGAATGCTTTCAGGTGGTGTTGCATTAATCTAAACTATAGAAGTACCATATAATTTGCATAGTTATAGGATCATAATCACACAACACTCACATTCAGAAACTTATTTATTACTACGACTTCACTTGTTTAGTTGAAATTGATTAGATAATCAGTTTTCGCTTTGACTGTTGGAAATAAAAGATCTGAAGAGTTAGTTGGCTTAACTTAGACCTAAAATAACCACTCTTACAAAACTTCTTCACCGCTTAGGGCCTTAATCGTACTCTGCCTAACGTGCAAGTACTAACGAACGGAATCAAGGTTAAAAGACTTGAGAGAGCAAGTGTGACTGGAACAGAATTGTATTTACACAAAAGAGATATGGAATTCGATAAGAAATAAGAGGTTACACACTTATCTGCAGTCTTGACTGTGGTAGGCTCGGAGAGTGCGCTGGGTGAAAGCACAACGAGAGAGCGAACCAAGAACGTACAAGGGTTTCACGAATCGAAAGAGGAAGTAGTGCTAAAGGTCAGGTGAGTCCGTTCAAACGAAAGTTCGAAGGTTCAGTGTGCACTACAGATCTATCCCATTGGATATAATCAGCATTCTGTAGATCAAGGTAACCTAAGGCATTCCTAACGAAAACCATTTTTATTAGGACGCTTGACGACCATGCACATGGTCCGGGGTTCAATCCGGCCGACGCACTCCTTCACCTCGCTAAGCAAAGTAATGCTGGTAAGAGGAAAGTTGGGCATGAGGCTAGCAACCCATCCTGTAAAATAAACACTGCTACAGAAACTTCACTTCTCTAGCTTGAAGCCCTATGTTCCACTGGGGAACGTGAAGGAAAGAAAAATATATTCAGTAGGGAGATGATAGGCAGTTAAGTTTAATCATTTATTTTTATGTCTTAACCTCAGATGCTAACAAAATTTCTTTGAAGAGGGTGACCAGCGCATTACAACGATAACAGTGTGATTCAGTAAAAAGAATGTGGAAAGTAGGTCAACAAATCTCATTACTTTAAAAGCTTACATTCTTTTTGCTCGGCTGACATCCCCTTCAATAAAAGTAGACCGTGATTTTTGAATTTTTTTATCGATAATCTATTACTTGCTTCCCATGAAGCTTGATAGTCTGCTGAATAGCTGTTCTGTATCTTGCCTCTAAAGCACATTTTCATTTCATCATGAGTCATTTACCAATAAAAATGGACGCCAGTCTGTTAAGCTGAACCAAAATAAAGGATCGATTAGTCAACTAGAATTTCCATCGTTCTGCCAAAAGTTTTATTTTATACTGATACACTGATGTACTGCATGTGCCTATAGGTATACCACTCCGTAGTGTAGATGTTGGTGTGTGTATGTGTGTATTTGTATATATCGATGCATCAGTGACTGTATGCTTGTATTTGTGTGTGCATTTGTGTGAGTATGAGTAGGTTTTTAAAACTCATAAAACTCACATTTTCTCATTTTTATCTCAGTTATTCAAGTGAACAGAATAAGATAGGTGTCTAACTCTTGAACTCTTTTCAATTTATCCTGTGATACAAAGCAATTTCTACAAACAATGGGACGTGTTCAAATTGTAAGGAGGAATTATTTTTTTGTTGTTGTTGTTTATTCTATTTGTTAATTTGTTGATGATTATGTAATTTGGTGAATACACTAAATAGGTAGCTTTGAAATTAGTGATCACAAGTTGCATAATCTTATGTCACTCAATATTCATGCTCTTGACTCATAAGACTACATGTATATAAAAGCATTATGCAATAGAATTTCACTGGATTCACGCTTTCCACATTAAACTATCTATCTATACATAAATTTATAAGAATGTATCGTTACCGTTATCCATCATCATCATCATCATCGTCTACGAGTTCGGAAGAAGAGGAGAACGAAGATGTGAATTATACATATAAAGATGATTTATATCTTTTCAATACTCACTTATTTTAATAGGTTTATGCCCCAGATGATTCATCCTCTGGACGAGTTAATCATCCTGGTAAACGAGAAATTGATCCACGCAGCGGGAAAGTGATCAAAGTTACCCGAGAGACTCCAGAGGACTATTGTAAGTTGATCAGTGTGAAACTCTTTCATGTTTATACCGTATCATTTTGATTATTTATCTAAGAATAGTAGATTTTACTGTTGACGAATGAATGAGTTGCTAGTTCACTGGTTGGATGGTAGCCAGCTACACAAGGGGTTTGGGTGAAGCTCCTGGCAGACGCGTTTATAAACAGCCTGGTTTACTAGCTTCTAGTAAACTGAGAAACGATGGGAGGTTGGGCTCAAGGATGGCAACCCCACCGTTGCTACTGAGACTTCAAAGCCTGTAGCTGAATATCCTACTCGGAGAGCAAGGAATGAAGAAAAAGAGGACGATAGTGGTGACACGATAGTGAAAGATGTTTAGTGTTTTCTTTTGCTTTCAAGAATATTCATGACATGTTGACTAAGATATTACTGCATGATTTATGAGCCTAATTGAATTTATAAACATTGTAGAAAAATATTACACCTGACTCCTATTAATAAAGGAAACATAAAACGTCAAGCAAATCAGGTTACTTCAAACCATCTTAGGACTAGATAGATTATATAACTTTTAAAAACTAGTTTACCCTTAGACAATGCTTTCAACCAAATACTTGTACAAAACTATTCCCTTTTCAATACTTAATAACATCTTGAACATTTTGGTAATGTATGATTCTGTAGCGAATACTTGTTTTGATATTATACACCCGCCTTGGAAAATGAGACCATCAACGAAAACAATACTGATGGTAATTTCATAATTGGTATCTATGTTTTATGACTTTGTGAGTAGTTGGATTTTCCAGCTCCCTTTTCCCATAAAACTGAAGAATGATTAGAACCCTAAACCCTACGTTTCATGATTAATCTTCAAAATTGTCGCTGGACTGAAATTATACTGTTTTACTGTGAGAAACATCAAACAGATGAAATAATATAAAATCATTATACATGTGTACTGGAGTAGTTTTATCACAGTGTTAGATAAAAATATTTTAATTAGGTGAGATACACATAGTTTCATAGGGTAGGAAACTCAATCCGTAGGGTTGTGATTGTGCATCGATTGAGACTTCTAAGATATCTGTTACGCAAGCCACATCATCAACTTCTTACACAAGTAATGATAACTGAAACTGAATAGAATAAAAAGGAGTTAAGGGTGGTCAGATCAAAGGTCTAGTTTACCTGACTGGATTTATCATATATGCTATAAATCAATGGTTGAATATCTCTTGTATAAAATGAATCAAAACTGCACGCAGGAGTATATTAACTTAATCTAATTTCCAGAGTCTTTCCAAAGTCTTTACTAGTCACTTTTTAATCATTCTTATCCCTTACATCCATTTTTGTCCATTAACTGTGATGGATTTATAATGATGCATCGTTTTGGAAAACTGGACGTCGTTTCATCCGTTAATCATCAGTTAACTCTGATATACATTACAACAAAGTTTTTTAAAAATTTCCCAATGAATGAAAAACAAAACGATATTGTTTTTTACTGACGTGATAAGCAATTTCATTATGTAAACACACGTGCTTTTATAATTTTACACACTTATCAAATCCAACAATCTACACCTGGTTTTGTTATCTTTACCAATTGGCCAATTCGACAACGCGAAAATGACCCCATGTTGAGGAACGATGATTAATTTATCATATATACGCTGGGATTTTGTAAATTCTGGTTTAATAATACTTTCATAAAGCTATTAGCAGCATTAAATAGCGAAACATCAGTAAAAACGATATCGTTTCGTTTTTTCATTCATTGGGAAATACAAAATATCTTTATTATTATAATGAATATCATATACCCGATGCCCAAATTTTTTCAAACTGTTAAAAGTGAACTTGGTTTGGACAAATATAATTCTGATAAAGCTTAAATTTATAAATTAGGCTGATAGGGAATGAAGTAAATCGAAATGGAAATGGACACGATAGAATGAAAGTGATGAGAACAAAACACGTAGTTAGGCGAAGAGGTTGTTTTCGGCGAATTCATTTTCTTTGGCTGTACAGTTGCATTGATACTCAATTGTTTCATGAAACATGGTAGTAACAAAAGTGATTAGTTGTCACAAACATAGTTGTTAATATTAGTCAATGTATAAAGGAAGTTGAACAAGTCTATTATAGTTACATAATAAGGTGAAGAATGGAACTTCTTCAAATTAATCCTGACTAGGTTCATCTAGAAGATGAACCTGAAAATGAAGTCATCTGGATGAAAGTTACGAATAATTACCAATAAATCTGAAAACACTTTACTGAAGGGTGATCAGATGCTCTATAATATTTTTAAATGATCTTATTATATAAAAATTCACAGAAAATTACTTATTCCATAATCCATAATTAACTTACTGTGCATGATTGAAAAAACATTAAGCTATTTAGTTTCTGTGTGAATGAAGTAATCTTATAATATGAATGGGATTAGATACAATAAACTGTGTATGAAAAGCTTTCGGATAAATCATCCTCTCATACTCTATGTAATATATGACATAAATGAACGAATATGGAGGTGCATACGTCCACACTGTCGAAGTGCAACTGTTATATAGTTTAAATCTGCCTAACATATTTAAAAAGTCTCAATGGAATAATCTAAGAGAACAGATATATATAATAATAATCACTTTATTCACTGAATATGCCCTTCATAGATCTACTCTCAAAGATATACCTACTCAAGTTAACAAAACTAAAGTACATCCGTGTACACTACAGTGACTTTCAAGGCAGTCACCTCCATCAAAATATAGTTAATTATTCTATTCAGAGGGTTACAGTTTTATATAAACTAATCAAATGTAGCGACATATCTGTTTGGAGTGCATATATGATAATGAATTAGCTTTATTCGGTAAGTATGTTGAAATGACACACGACTACATCAATGCTGACATATCAAATGACGACAACCTGGTCAGCATTTGGGTCTCGTGGTTCATCTGGAAGAAAACCCAACTTGTGATTTGAGGGCTGGTAGTTTGAGCCCTGATTCTACCCAGATTTTCATCTCACCTTCAGTCATCATTCACTACATCAGGAGCAGGACCTCTTAATCCAAGGTTATTCCAGAAAAAATCATCTTCAACCTATTTGATTCACTGATTATAACTAATGTTACCTAATCTCTAATACCAGAATGCTTTATCTCCAATTGGTTATAATTATATTTCAATAGTTTAAACACAATGATAAGCGTTTTGTTTTGGGGAAATATTTCAATCAAAATTACTGCCCGTGATCACATCAACTGTTGGGATTGTTTTTTAATTCACACACGTATGGTTTATAATCATATATATATATTACATTTTTGTGTACCCAGAATTATATTCCAGGTTGTTGACACTTGTGCTCAGTCACTCTCAAAGCATGTATTCGGCATAACCTTAACGAATATAGATTCTGTTACTAGTCTTTCTTTCCATTCGATCTTATTAGATTTCAGAATAAAAACGTTGTCCTAATCCATATTGTGGTTTCTATCCCATGCAGCCATAGAGGAATGTTTCTACAAATTACTGTACGCTTATGTTCCTGTGGGATGACCTTCAATTAGACGTTTATGTTCCCTCACTCTTATTTTGAGTGATCTAGACGTCTGACCCACATATTTAATCGGACATTGCCAAAACAAAACACTTATCATTGTGTGTAAACCATTAAAATATAATTATAATTAATTTGATCTATTCCACAATGCACAAACATTTCACTGACATTAATTAGCTTTATTTCTAGTTAAAATAGGCAAAGTTAGAGTTTCTCTTGATGCGCATCTGTGTATAATCTTTGAGATGATTCAGTGTTGATCGGGAAAACTAATGGTGTGAATATTAATAGGTTATACGAACGTATTTATGCTTATATCATTTAGCGGTAGTCCACACCATCATCATCATCATCAGAAATAATAATGATATGCAAGCGAAAAGCAACAAGTTGGCAGAAGAAGCATCAAAGATAGGACCTCAGGTGAACATAGAGAAAACAGAGGTAATGAAGATTCCTGGACAAGAACAACAACAACAGACAATGACCAGCATAAATGGGAGGAACCTTCACCAACCGACCTGGGAAGCATCGTTTCAACTACAGGCGGACGGAACTGACGAGGATATCAAAGCAAGAATCGGAAAAGCAAGACAAGCTTTCATTACTCTCAAGCCTATGTGGAAATCAGCAGCACTCAGCATCAAGAACAAGATCCGGATTTTCAACTCCAATGTGAAGTCAGTGTTATTATACGGATCAGAGACTTGTACTGCGCGTCATAAAGAGCATCTCAAACAAACTACAGACCTTCATCAACAGTTGTCTTCACTCAATACTCAAGATCTGATGGCCAGAAGAGATCAACAACAGGGACCAATCTCCATGAGCGAACCAACCAGGAACCGATTGTGAAAAAATAGGCAGGAAGAAATGGAGATGGATTGGCCATACTCTGAGGAAACCATCAAGTGACATCACTAGACAAGCCATCGCTCGAGTGGAACCCGAAAGGGAAGCGGCGAGTTGTTCGTCAGTGCAAGGGTGACTTGGAGGAGGTCATGTGAAGAGGAGATGAAAATGTGTGAGCAGACTTGGAGCCAGGTGAAGAGTCTAGCAGAGAACCGAACGCAATGGAGACGCACGGCTGAAGCCCTATGTTCCTCTAGGAATTAAAGGAAACAGTAATAATAATAATCTTCATTTAAAACATTATAGAAAATTAAACTGTTAGAGAGTGAATTTCCTTCTTATGCAACAAAAATTAGTGCCGTTATTATGCCTTACTGTTCTTTTTCTTCAATCATTTGAGTTCCAAGTAGAGTATAGAGCTATAAGCTTAGAGGTTAAAGTAGCGATGGCGCTGTTTTTTATAGGATGAAATTGCTGGCCACACGCGCCCCTCCCCAAATTTCCTTCTTTTCCAGGCTTAGTATGGGCTAGTAAACTAAGTGAGGTTTAAAGTTGCATTGATTGGGTATTTTACTGCTGAGCCCCATAAGCTGTCAGTGTTGAGGGCTTCAAAATAAAAAAAACTAAACTTCATATTCCTTATGTATAATGTTACATGTTATTAAAAGTGTTCTTGCGAATCATCCACCTGAGCTACAACTTCTCTATTATTTCAAAATGTTACATGTGGACAATAAATAATTAAGGTTTCATCATAGGGAACTTCTTTATTTATTCACTTATATATTCCCCCAAAATTAACACATTCACAAGGTTTTAAATGAAACAGAAAGAAGTTGCTTTTAGGTACAGATGGAATATGAACTGCTTGTAGCTGATTACCTTTCTCGCTTCTTTTCACTAGTTTTTAATAATAATAGTAATAATAACATCTTTATTCTGGATAGTATTTATAAAGTGTACAAAATTTTCGGAGAAGTCAATTGCATGATATTTTCCCCTAGTACAATATCTTCAAGTAAAATATTAATTGACAGTTTATCCTGTAACACAATGCTCTCTGAGCTGATGAAGCACAAACCATTCCATTATGATATTTCTGCTTTGTTTCCACCAAGAAATCCATGATATCTAGTTGAAAGTTAATTGTAAGATGTTGAGAAGTACATTTTGAGACCAAAGGACATAAGGGAATAACAGTTATCTTATATAAGATACATTGTATTGGAACACGTTGCCACCAACAACCATGCCTTCCCTCAAGTTTAGCAGGAACTTCCGAATCAGAAGCTTTTAAACATTTTAAATACACACAAGAGTAGATAATACCATTAGAAGTCATATCTTAATCGATTAAAACAAACCGATGGAGAGAAAATATATGCACTAAAGAGATGTAATTTTCTGGTAGCCCAAATTTTAAGCAGGCCGCCGAAAGTATGTTATATATAATCAACATACTGGCAATGAATTATCTTTTGTTGTACATGAAATCAAAAAAAATTAATTTACTTAGTTTCTTTTCACTCCTCCTGGTGAAAATGACTGGAGTTGTGGAACAATCACTTCCAAAAAATATCAAAAGAACTAAACAGCTAATTTTATCATTTATGTATCCGATTTAACTAAAACATTCTGAAGGTAATCTATCAAAAATGACTAGTCAGTTGAATAGTATTACAAACTCGCAGTTATCTAATGGGATAACCTGGGAGTACTGGACAGCGGCTTCGTCCTAGCTTAAGGCTCTTCATCAGTACGCACCCGCCGGGGTGTAAACCCAGGTCCTCCTAGTTACAAGGCGAGCTCGTAGACCATTAAGCTACTGGGATCCGATCGAATGGCCCATTAATTCTAACTTCTGACAATTCACGGCTGAATGGTCTACAAGTTCGCCTAGTAAACAGAAGGTCCTGGGTTCAAAACCTGGCGGTGGATGCGTACTGATGAAGATTCCCAAACTAGGACGAAACAACTGTCCAGTATTCCCAGATTTTTCAGTGGTTCTCTAACTGATGTCAGTTCATGATGAAATCCTCCGTCCAATCAAACAAAATTCCTACCAAACCAATACTTGAAAATTATCTAATAAACAAACTAATATGAAATAGTAATAACCAGTCTTATTCCTATTGTAATTGCAACTCAAGTACATAAGCTGAACTAACTAAAGTAGGAGCTAATACACACAGCTTAGAAAAGAGAAACAATATCTCCGGTACCAAAGGTACAAAGCTTGGAGCTTTATGTTCCACTCAGAAAGCAAAGGATGAAAAGGAATTTAAAGTCGATATGCTTAATCATTGTTTAATTGCGAAGTGTTTATCATTGAAGTAGGCATATACTTGCATTTACAAACAGTAGAGAAGATTTGTACATTAGATGAATGTTCTCTGGGCTTGCTGGCTGGATTACGAAACTTTCATCGTCTTAAGATTTCGTCTACAAAGACAATAGAAGCTTCACAGTTAAACTATCCAGCTCAGAGAACTCGACCACAATCAAAGCACTAGCGCTGATTCTATTCCATGAGTAAAAGTTTCGTTTTGACCAATGTTTTATTGCTAAATTAGAAGGTGAAGTTAGTGCAATCTAACAGAAACCAGCTTGACTTCTAAAATGAGTATTGTGGGGATTTTTATAATGTCAGGAGTAAGTATAGAACGATCCGTTGTTTTAGGGTCTGATGTTTGCTAAATAAGATAGAAAGTTTTCAGTTAAGCCCTTCCTGATTGAGTGGCTAATATGATGATGAATTTGGGCCAAATAACAGATCGAAATTTGGTGGCGGATGAACACACACACTAATTTAATCAGTTAAATAGACATTTTGAAGAAATAAAATCATGTTACTCACTAATGAGAACTCTCTGAGTAAGAAAAGTGCCGTCCTCATGCTTCCTGAGTTTCCACTGCACTATGCCCAGGGGAACCACTGGTTACGTAATCCAGTCCAATGAAAGTTTCCTAGACTAACTAAGCATAGATTTATATTACTCTTGGAAAAACTGAAATTCAGAAAGCCCCAAATTCATGTATCGTCTGTTTCGTTGTTTACTTCTTATCCATGGTCATCTAAATTCGCAAATGCAATAAATCCTGTTTTCTCCCTCCCTGTATTTTCATTTATTTCTATCCATCTTACAGTATTTACTTTCACCAATAAGCCATTATCTGTCAGCTAATATTCCACTAAGAAAGAACGCATCCATCGTCCGAATGTGTGATATAGAATTCACAAATCGTAAGCCTTACGATCACTAATATTTAGGCTATCTAACTCCTGGATGCTAGCTCTTAATAATTCTCGTAGAAGTACTAATATTTTTGGTGGGTCTATAGCGAACTAAAAAGCACACAGTTTCAGAAATGATTCACATAGCACTAGCAAAGTCCTTATAATGCTATTCGTTCCAAGTGGAATATTGAGCTTCAGTGGTGCATGTCCTTTTCTCTCGGTTTCCTCTCTTATCACTTTTACTTCACCCCATACCTACCCACAAGATTTCATTTCCTCGTCACATGATCTCCTCCATGTCAACCTGGGACGCCCAAGCTAAACTTCGCTTCTAATAGTCACCTAGGCAATAAAAACACACAGTGGAAATAAGCATAGTCGAGTGTCTTGTTCCAAACTGAAAGTCTTCTCAATTATCTATTTTAAAAAGGCGTCAAGTAATATGGTAGAATATATATATATTTAATTTTAACTCTTTCATATTTCAGTGGATGTTCTCAAACCCGTCAAAGGTCCAAAACGTATGGAATTCAATCCAAATCTGCCCAAAACACTTACACCGAAAGGATATGCTAAGGTAATAATTTTTCTGTCAATTTTCATATCATTTGTCTGATTTCACGGATGTTGTGTACTAGAGCTTTTAGCAGATTACCTCATATTATGTTAAACCCTGTGTGTATATGGGGAGTAGAAACCAACTGAACGATAATAAATCACTTCAGCTGTCTCCTAGCTGACTTATTTATAGAATCAGAAAGTATCACTGAGGTTCCTGGTGAAACTTCATTCCTACCACCTGAGTGTTCTGCTTGTGAAATTCCATAGGCTTAACTTCTGACATTGAAATGACGTAAGTGGCTTTCAGAAGTTCAGAAAAAATATAATCCATATTTGATAGAAGGCACCCTCAATCGATTTTGTTCAACTTTAATTGATTATTGAAGCGTGATTTATAACTTCATCGCTAATAAGAAGTAAATCTCTCAGTTCGCGTTTTGTAGTTCACTTACGACAGCTAAAAAAATGGACGTCAGTTTAATAAAACGGTGAATTGATGTGTAACCAGTGCTAGCGGTTATTGTTAATATTCCTAATCCCTCGTCAACTCTATTCACAAACGTCAAAGTGTTTGTTCATTGTATGTGAATTCTTATCTGAGGGTTAAACTGACCCGTCTTTCTTAATGCTGTATGTTGATACCATTGGAGACACTCACTAGTCTAAAGTAAGCGGGTTTAGTTCCAGTTATTAGTAATTATGTGACTGCTTTTCAAAATTAACTTGAAATAGGTTTACTGGATTTCTGGTTTGTAAGTGAAGGCTTAAAAATCCCTGACACAGAAGTGTTGAAGTGATTTACGTTTAATCCATGCGTTATGATTTGGATAGAGCTAATTATTTAAACATTCCTTATACTTAGTATTATTCATATATATTTATATACATAATTGAAATTTCTGAAATACGTTTAAGTATTTAATACCTACTACGAATATAATTGCAGCTCAAATTAGTAATGAGTGTTACAAGTAAACAATACGAAACGCTGATTCGACGATTGAAAGCTGAACGAACACTTTGGGAGGATCCTGATTTTCCAGCTGCAAGCAGTTCTATTGGCAATCTTCCAGGAGTTACAGACAGAGTGGAATGGAAACGACCACATGTAAGCATACATTACATTATAGTAGGCTTTATGCTTTCCTTTCCATTTACTTTTGAATACAAATTTCCATACATACATATTTCTATGTCAGAAAGGAATGCATTGCTTTAATCAAAATCGTTAGCTGCTGCATTCATCTGTCATATGAATACTGAAAAACAAAAATCATACGTTTCACTATGAAGAAAAGAAAACCAAAAACAGTAAAGCCTTATTTAATTTGTCAAAAAGGCCGATAAGAAAAATGCATTCCATCAGGCGACGCTGAAAGATTGAAATCAAAGGAAAGTCAATGTTTTCTTCTTTCTCTTAATCACATTACTAATTTTTAATAATTTTATGATTTGCCTAGCACACAAGCACACAAAAACACGTAAATTGGCATCATCTTAGGCATACATCTTGTTTTTGGCAATAGATTACAATGAATCACATCTAAGTAGTTACTTAACAAAATCACATGCAACTTCTGGTATATTTGGATTCAATATGTGTATTGGATTTGTGCGTTTAGTATACCAGCATTGGGTAGTTTCACTTTATAGCTCAATACATACAGAAATGAAAGGGATAATGACAATGTCTAATCATTTTTGATGAGTACTAGAACATGTTATTCAAAGTACTTTCAGTGATCTGTGTGTTGGAATCTTTATCTGAATACTTGGGGAACTCACCAACCAATCACATCAGACTTAACGTGTGCAAATAGGATTCGCAGATATATGGCTTAACTTTCTGAGAAACGGCCACAAGCGATACAGAATAACCTTCGGCAAGAAAACAACCAGTCAGAATACGTTGCTTACAATAATGTACATAAAAATCTATAAATATCTCTTAATTTTTCCAATAAACGATCTGTTGCGCGGCCCTTGTCCTCTGTTGTTACACTATGGCAGCAAAACGCGTAAGATTTAAACTGCTATGAAATATAACAAACAAACTACACGCATGATCTGTGATTGATTCCTAGCCAATGACGCACTTCTAAACCTTGCCTAGTCTGTAGTAAATCGGAGAAGGAGGGAAGGTTAGTTGTGAGACTAACAGCCTAACCCGATAAAAAATTCAAGATCTGCTGTAACTTCAAAGCTTAATGCTTGAAGCCCTTTATTCCACTAGGAACACAAAGGTACACAAAGTGACTTGTTACCAATGATTTGATTAGTTCAGGATAAGTTTCACAGTAATTGACTTAACGTTTCACTTTAAGATACTGACAATCTATACATTATGGGAACTATAAAGTGAATAAATTTCTGTCTTTACTCTGTGAATTAAGCGTCGAAGACTTGATTCCCCAGCTTTATGACACCTTTCTAGGCCGACTGGAAATGTGTTTAAGAAAATAAAGCAAAAACAACATATTAGACATGAACCAGAGTCTTTATCCAGTGTTGAGCAAATTTAAACGTCTTTCATAAGCCTGACGACTTACGAAAGTGGTAACCTTGGATTGTAACTAGAGATCTTGACTTACTGAATACACTAACGTTACCCAAAAGACAAATTTCACAGATATTATTGAGTGACAGTGACGCTGTATCGGAGATTTTTAGAAATTGGATGTCGATAACAATTGAGTTCTGATTCCATGGAAGAAAAGCTGGCTGCATTATCCGTAAACTGAAGTTAGCATCTCCTTTGGGCATAGCATATGCCTATATCCGAATCTACTAATCTATTCTAAGACATGCTCATCGAAGCCTACTGACTAGGTTTGAAACTTTATCATTGGACTGAGGGACATTCTGTCGCAGTGCATCGTGTCTAAATTTCGCAAGCACCAATTATTCAGACCTAAATGATGAATTATAGGAACGGATTTATTAGGTCGATAAATTACATTTCCTTGATTTATTTGGTTATTTAACTTAGTTATATGCTTAGCACTAAAAGTCCAAGACTTCACATAAATCTGAGTGTTTATAAGTTGGCAGTGATACAAGTCACCGAAAGTTAGGTACTTAGGATTATTGTCAACTAACTCAAAATGTATAATTATCGACTGTCTATTTTGCAAGCTCCCAATTTATATGTGCTCGAAGCTGAATTAACACACAAGCTTTGCTGAACTGTAAATATCTTCGAATTTTAGTTTCACTTTATCGTAGTGGATAAAAATGGATGATTCTACTGGAATATGATATGTGACATTAAGGAAGTGTTCCATTGTTTCTTAAATTGTAAACACCCACAGTCGATATTCAACAGTACCCAATCAGTACTCAGTGATTCTGCTACAGTGGGACCCAGGATAAGCACTTCGTCTTCTGGATGTACCTGTATCCCCACTGAATAATTTTGTCCACACTAACACTTATAACTAGTATCTATCGTTTCAAATTCTAAGGCCGTATCCAACAGATCAGTGGGATAAGAATTAGTACCATAACCTGCATCTCATTTCGTCAGAAACGTCTGATGATGTTAACTAGTTTGTTTAAACTCATAGACTAGTCAATGTACTGATGGTGGCTGTGATTGATGAAGATACTTGGCCTTTGACTAATATTTCACAAGTCACGCAGGTAGGTTAATGCTAAACAATGCAAAGACATGCATCACTTAGAGTCACTGCATTACAAAACAACATGTGAAAACATGTTAAATGTTACTAAAATGGGCAATTATTATTATGAGATTAGAGAAAATAATCATATGAAGATAAATGACGGTAGTCGGAATTTCAATGACACATCTGTGCAATTATTGTCAGCCCTTAGTGTTTCAAAATGTGTTTATCAATAGTCCAGTGGCAGAATGCTGGCCAGCCGCTAGACAATTCCAGGTTCGATTCTTGGTTGACAAACTCCTTACCCTCTCCAAAAGCCTAAAAGATGGAAGGTAGGTCATGAGGATAGCAAACTCGCGCCTGGAGAACAATACTGTCGCTAGTGAAACTTCAAAGCTTAGAGCCCTATGTACCAATCGGAATGCGAGCGATGTGAAAAACCTACTCAACATTGAGTAGTATGTTTTATTCACTAATATGGAAATAACAGTTTTCAATGCTTTTCTTATGGATTTTTCAAAATATGCCTACTTTTGAAGTGAAATATTTCTAAAGAGTACAGATTTTTGATGAATGTACACTTAAATGTCTAAATCTGATTTCTTTTGGTTTAAAGGAAATAAATCCCAAGGCTACATTTTTCGCTGCTGGTGCAAGTCGTTTTGATGTTAAACAAGGAGCACTTGGTAAGTAAATTATTAGTTTAAATAACTTTTAATTGTAGTCTGAGGTTTGTACTGAAATGCATATTCAAACTTTATTAGGTCATTCTCTGAACCATGGTCTACTTTTAATTTGAAGAGGCTGATATGAGGTTCTTTCCAATAATCATTTATCAAAACAAATTTATGTTAGTTACGCTGAGTTTTAGACATTGTGCTATTTCTCATGTGCCGGTTTGCTGGAATTAACCAGATTCCAAGTAGGATTTTAATAAGAACTGACAACGATAAGAGAACCACTGAGAAACAGCATTTGAGCACTGGACAGCTGTTTCCTCCTAGTCTATGGTTCTACAGTAGTATGCACGCGTCATCCAAGAAGTGATCAAACCCAGGACCTTCAGCTTATAACATGAACATGTTACTCTTCAGTAACTGGTAAGCAATCTACCAGCTTCGTCGCTGAAGTCCACAGATTCCAAGTGATTGTATGCACGCTGCTCATACACTTTCACCAGGAAATTTTCCATCTAAAATGTTTCCGAAGTTGACAAATGAATCATTCTTGCATTTGTTAAAGTGGCTTAACCCTGCTGTCTGGCAGTGAATACCACTACACACGGGTTCAGGGCTAAATTGAACCACCACACAATGTCTATGAATAGACGAATGAAAATACTCATCCAGTCTGATAAATCTTGTATTAAAAAGTGTTCAGTGAAAGTATGGTTTGCTTTCTGTAAAACCACTTGCTTGTAATTCACTTGACAAATAAGCAGAATGTTAGTGATCGTAAAGTCATTCAAATTCACTCGCCCATGCAATCACACATAATTTCCTTCGCCTTCAGTTATTATTATTATTTCACTTTACCATAGAGACTCAGTTGCTTACATCTGACTACAAAAACAGCATCAGTATATAGTTATAAAGGAGTATTACGAATTTCACCGCCGAATTAATTTCCTTTCACCTCAATATACCGGGATAAAAATAACTTTCTGCTTTAACAAGATATAGAGTTGTAAAACACTCAGTATTTGGCTGTTAAACCAAAACAACAGAAATTTGAAGAGTTCCGTTCAGGTCTTTAATTAGATAAAATAACTAAACAAGACCATATTGAGCTGGCATCAGTTAGCGAACCACTGGAAAACCTGTGAGTACTGGACAACTGTTTCGTCCTAGTTTGGGACTCTTCACCAGTACGCACCCACCGGGGTTCGAACCCAGGACTGACGAAGAGTCCCAAACTAGGACGAAACAGCTACCCAGTACTCCCAGGTTTTCCAGTGGTTCGCTAACTGATGTCAGTTCATGATTAAATCCTCCATGCAATCAAACAAAATCCCTACAAAACCAATACTTGAAAAGACCATACTGAGTTTATTTTTATGAATACAGAGTCAGTGACCACCATTACTCGAATGTTTGATCAATCAGACAAAAATGGCATTAGACATCAAATAACCAAGAGACATTCTACCCTGTTTTATAGCTCTTCAAAAGTACGACAGTACGACTTAGCAGACTATTCACAATTACAACGCCAGCCACAACAACTACAGTGTCCCCGCAAGTGAAGTAAGACAGAAGACAAAACGTTCGTGAGAGTCTTTACTGTCTCAAGTAACACTTCAGTAAATTTTCTATAGTTTGGTTTGTAAGGATTAGTTATGTTTTACGAGTTGATCACGGACTGATATCAGTTAGAGAACCATTGAAAACCAGGGAGTACTGGACAGCTGCTGTTTCATCCTAGTTTGGGAATCATCGGCAGTACGCACCCACTGGGATTCGAACCCAGGACCTTCCGGTTACAAGGCAAGCTCGTATACCATTCAGCCACTGGGACCCGATTCAATGGCTCATGAATTCTAACTTCAGTAATGACAAATTTCCCGAGATGATATCATTTCGTAGTTTCTTTACAACCGCTTTACAACTAACATGGTTAACAATAATAAAATAAAGTTCATGACAATTACTCAGTTAAATAAAAAACAAAAGTACATACTAATGACCAATCATATTTAAAAGGTCATATAGTCCATGGTAGGCGAAGATTGTAGTGTATTGTTTTTTTTGTACACACAATTTAGGCTGTATGTGATTAATATCAGTAAAAAGTTTGAGCATTGTGGATTAGATCAAATAAAGTATAATTATATTTTAATAGTTTACACACAATGATAAGTTTTGTTATTGGTAATTTTGCTAGAAATATTACCAATAACAAAACTTATCATTGTGTGTAAACTATTAAAATATAATTATACTTTATTTGTATCTGATTAATCCAAAGTGCTTCCATCACCTTCAATAACCTTGAATTAGAGTTATGTGAAATAATTGTGAAACAGTCATTAATATTGATTTTGTGACCTGACACTAATAAGTGTTTCGCAATGGATGATGCTGGATTTCTATTCAGATTACTCGCATTGGGATTTTCTATATGATTTAGTAGCCATTTTGGAACATATTCTTTTCGATGACATTGGAACATTCTGTTTGTTCTACCTATATAGGTGTCACCACAGCTGCAGGTGAACTTGTAGATATAGTTTGAAGTAAAGTCCACAGAATTTCGTTGCGAAATTTGTCTCCTAAATGCCTTATTCAAATTTATCAAAGGGACTAATTGTTTTATCTTCAGTAAAGGTTCAAAAACAGTTAGCGGGGAAGTTGAATTTATACTATTCACACCAGTTAGATCGATAATAAGTTTTAAGAGTTAATACCCAATCAGAATCAAGAATCCGTAGAGGGTGAATATAAGCAATGTGCGAAAACAGTAAAATAAGTTGTTGGTTTGTCAGGCGAAAAATACAGGTACATAACACGGAATTAAGAGCAAATGAGAACAAAACTATGGGTATATTGCAGGTATCTCTCTCAAAAGAATTGGAACCGTCAATATTTCAGTCATGTAACGAACTGTGATGGTGTGATACGGACAATGTGTTCCAACGGAGTAGTATTCTCACATATTTCCACAGTTCAGTACAGTTTGAACATTCTATTTCATGTCGTTTAATGTAATCCAAAATCACACGTTCAGTGATTGGTTAACGAATATTAACTGACTATATATAAACAGAGTTTTGATCACTTCAGAATATACCTTGGCTTCCGTTTTTTGCCTTCTGCCGTTACAGAACTATTTGGTATTCAGCCGGCTAGCCACCCAGTGATCTGTGAATCCCACTTAATAACCAGCTGATGATATAATGCTGAGTAGGGAATTCTCATCAGATACAATTTGATTCTAGGCAAGTTTGAAATCGAAACTTGTACAATAACATAGTGATTTCATCTATTTATCAATTTATTTAATTATAATCTAGGTGATTGTTGGCTACTTGCAGTAGTAGCCTCTATTGCAGGCTATCCACAACTTTTTGAGCATGTTGTACCTAAAGATCAAGTATTACAAGGACCTGATTACGTTGGTGTTGTACGTTTTCGATTTTGGAGATTTGGTCAATGGGTTGAAGTTCATATCGATGATCGTCTCCCAGTCACCAGAGGAAGTAATAGATTGATTTTTATGAATTCAAATGATCCAACGGAATTTTGGTCTGCTTTATTAGAAAAAGCTTATGCAAAGTAAGGCAAATCACTTTTTATTTGTGTATGAAGTTAATTTTGATTTTCTCAGTGATCGAATGAACCGAATTGTTCGGCCTCTATTGACGTGTTGGTTTATAGATATAAGTATTAAACTTGGGCACTGTGGTAGAGTATAATTCCATTATGGATAAAATTTTATTTTGATAAATCACACAGTGTTGTACAGTTATATTATCTGATGACGTTTCGAGCACAAACTATTGCTCATAATCATATCAACTTGATATTCCCAGCTCACTATCCGCAAGTAAACTAGGCATGGCTTTGAAATGTTTCAGCGAGTAATCAAACTCACATCATGTGAACGGCCAGTTAGAATTCTGCAGCCGAACCACCATAATACCATTACTTGTTGACATTTCCTCTTCATTCACAAAATGTGAACATTTGTCACTTAGGATGTGCATAGAGTGTACTTTTGTAATCCTCACCATGTTTGCTTTCCATATACTATCTCAAATAAAACATTTACAGTGAACAATCCCAAGTAAATCCCTGTTGTCTCCTAAGTTCTAATAGAATTCATCGACCACTTATTATTCATCCGAATTTTTTTCATTGGAGTTGAAACGTTAACCTATAGCCAATGAATTAATGCAAATGAAGTGTCATTTCAGTACTAGGCTGGTTCGCAGACTCCATCACTGATTTATTTCAGTCACTTTTGGCTGATTTCCATCAACTTGTCAACAGTAATGATTTAAAGTAAAAAGAAGAGGGGCAAGTATTCTAGACTGGTAGTACTATTGTGCATCTGATCTTTGTAGACTAAACACAATTACACCAGTTATTCTCAAGTGATTATTTAACATACTCATAGATTTCCAAACACACTGTATTGTTTAATTTAATTTTAGATTTTCCTGTCGATTGATTTGACCGAAGTGCTCGGTCTGAGGTTGAAGATGCTTCGACGACGTCTGATCATGCAACTAGAATTTAATTGGTGGATGATGACTAGCAGTGGAATCCAGGATGCGCATTTCGTCCTATTTGGGACTCGTCATCTGGACGTACCTGCACTCCAAGTGGTCTAGTGGATAACGCTTTGGCGTTTGAAACTATGGGCACTGGGTTCGAGCCATCACTCACTGCGAAATGCAGGTACATTCAGCTAACGAGTCCCAAATAGGACGAAATGTACATCCTGGATTGCACTGCTAGCCACCATCCATCAGTTAACTTCTAGTTACACTGTATGTTATTCAAAAGTACTACTTGGATATAAAAAGCAATTTCTTTTAAAAATACCTTAACTTTATTTTCCAACTTAAGATTGAACGGTTGTTATGCTCATCTATCTGGAGGATTACAAAGTGAAGCTATGGAAGATTTAACTGGTGGTATTTGTCAATCAATTGAACTCAAAGAAAGTGAACGTCCAGCAGATCTTTTAATCCAGATGAAAGTATACAGTCAACAATGTTGTCTTATGGGTTGCAGCATTGATGTAAGTTGTATTCTCTGGTAACTTTTTTGTTTATCCAATGATGTGCATTGGCCAGTGTCAGTGAGACCGTTGGAGAACAAATAACAAGTAGTACACATTAGTGTACAGCCGTTCACAGTTGAAATATAGATTTTAAAACCTTGAAAACTAATATAGTAAGCTGCAGAACAAATTTAACCAGCTTGTGATACTAAACAAATGTCAACCGTCATGAAGAATTAATCCGCCTCAAGGATTATAACTTCTCATTAGAATGTTCTCGAACAGTTGTACTAAAAGATTCACATCGAGAGTATTAGAGTTACTTTTAGTCAGATGGACAGGTAATTAGTTAATTTTCACAAAACTGTTATTGTCACGACACACCTGATTCACAATATTTCGACTTAAAGTCAACTTCCTTAATAAATGCAGAATACTGAAAAGTCTTAAACCTCTTGACTTTTATTTTGCAATCTAATCATGAAATGAACCATTACACAATCAACCTTTTTTATTCTCTTTCTCCTTCAGTCAAATGTTATGGAACAAAAGATGGATAATGGACTTATTGGAGGTCATGCATACAGTATAACAGGTGTATATCCCGTAAGTATCACGCTATCTATGTACAGCATTTTGTGTTTTCTAACCCTTGTGATGTAATGTTCACTAAACTTACAGGATTATGATACAATCTGTTACTTCGTTTGGAATGTAGGACACAGAGAAATGTAGTAGTTGATAGACACGCGATAACCAATACACATATTTTTATATTAATTCTGGTTGGAATCATTATGTCATTATTTAATAAGTTCTGATTATTTTAACTAGTTAAAATGATGAATGGATGATCAATTGAACGCTATTATTGTTAATCTTATATGACTGCAGATGGTTATTAACGAAACCAGTACAATCAGCAGATGCTCATTAAATGGCAGTGCGTCGGTGGCACAGTGGTTAGGACTCTCGCCGACCATGCACATGGTCCGGGGTTCGATCCCCTGCCGGCGCACACCCGATATCTATGGTCGGCCTGAATTTGGGCTACCGATATCCATGCTGAAAATTCCACACTTGTACTGAAAATACGGTGTGGAATCAAGCTGTAAATCAAAATAAATCAAAATAAAATAAATAAATTGGCTAAATCACCCAATCACCGATTGACAAAAGTTTGAATTCATGGGTCATGGAATTCGAATCCAGTGGCTATATGGTCAACGGGGTGATATCGAATTTCGATGGTCTTGGTTTCAGTATCTGGTAGTGTCTTTACTGCACACTGTTGAGAAGACCCTAACTAGGATAAAATATGTGTTCAGTGCTCCTTCGTTTTCAATGATCCTTTAAATGATAATGGTTTTATGATGAATGCTGCATTGAAATTTAGATAATGGCGTCATTACTTATCTCTCTACAGTAAAATAGACTTTGAAGGATAATACAGAAGAAGTATCATTCAGCTTTATTGCGCATAATCTTATTCTGCTCTGGAATCTCAGAGACGAAACGACACGGTTTTGCGAAATCTTTCGGGAAGTCAGTCATCCGGAATGTATTCTTTTGATGAAGGGGAAAATACGCATGGGGACATCGAATTTTCACGTGGTGTTCGAAGCTGGAATGGCTGCTCAGATTGCTAAAGGAATGAAGTGAGAGGTGATACAACATATAAGTGCTAAGAATGTGTGAGAGCCGGTGGAGTGAGTTTTTAGAAACTGACTTTTCTATCAAAACATTTACTCAAATTACCGACCAAGGACCTGTAATATTGCAGAAGACCAATGGTGTTTATGAACCGTTATTTCCGAAATTACAGCAAAGGGGAGGTGCAGCGACAAATACCTATTCAAACAAACGGAAGGCCATTCATCATTCAATAGATAAAGATAGCTTCAAAAATCATAAAAAAAGATATATTTCCTACTTGGTCGCTCGTTTCATCGTTCGGAGTTCTTTAATCACTTACAACATCTGAGTGGCCAAATAATACTGTGTTTTAGAGGCCCTACAACTTGTTAGCTCGAGGGTAAGCAAACCACTCCAGCCATTCAGACGAAAATCACGGGCACACTGAGTGAGTGGATACTGTGATGTCACCGACATCACTGATGACTTTAATGCAATCGGGGCTAATCCCCTTCAGTATAATTACAGCAAGTCTCAACTCAGTAGGTATGGAAGTTATAATTATCCAGTTCTATGTCCCTACAAACAACGCAGAAGAAGAAAAGGGGTGAGACGGTTACAGTCAACTGCAAACAGTAATGGATTGGACACCAAAGTCAATATCGAGTCCTGATGGATGACATAGGTGCAAGGTAAACTGGAAGCAGACAACATACTAAGCGAATCTATAATGGATAGGGAAGCTCTCGGCACCCTGAACAATAACGTAGGACTCATCACAGTCTGCGTAGGACGAGAAAATTCACAAGGAGGCATGGGTTTAAGCCAACAGACACTTCAAAAATGTGACGAGCTTCATCTCAATATTGCCGAAGAAATGTGAGACGCAGCCTGCTGGAAACAAAATTAAGAAGAGGAGTAGACGTAGGTGTGGATGGTGAAGCAGAAGATGAACAGCTGCAAGGATGGACGACGGAAGTAGAAGCTGAATTCGATATATACCGCACTGAAAGTAAAAGTTAGGAGTACTATGAAAGACAAACGACAATTGTAACACACACTGTCAACTCAAGCGAAAGAGACTGCAGGTAAGAGAGACAGAGGGGCATTATGTCAGATAGCCGGGTTCATTTTTGATAAAAACTGTACAGACTTACTATTTAATATATCACACGTCCACTCCACCAAAATTTTCTGCCTCTGGTCTTCACTTAGTTCTGTTTTAGCACCCATCTTTTTTGGTAATTGTCCTCGACCAGCCATCTGATCTTCAATACTGACAGAAGTACAGCAGATGATGATGGAAGTCAACAGCTGACATTTGGAAATGCTTCTCGTGAGGTGAGAAGCACTGACCTGACACTAGTGTGGAAAATTTGGATCTTATTCGTTGTACTTAATGTTATTGACCTCCACTCTGATTTCATATGGACAGACACTGAGTGTTCATCAGGTACTCCAGAAACTTAGCAATAAGTGTTCTATACAGCCTGTATTCTTAGACCCTTCAGGCTAAATAACACTGATGATGGAGGAACATGTATTCTTTTAAATCATGGAAAATTCCCATTGTAACATATAGAAAATCAAAACAAATGATTCAGCGAAGAGACTCTTTTCAACGAATTTATCATCAAGCTGTACAATCGTATATATATGGTTTTTAAGAAGTTATATCCGGTGAGGGAATTGAAACATAGGTGTGAATGCATGAAATAATAATAATATGAAGTGCAATTAAAACTAAAATGTTTGTGATTATAATCGTAGTTAAAGGTCAAGTGGCAAAGCAAATTAATGTCATATATAGAATAATTCATAGGATGGATAGAACTTGAAAAAGGTGTGCAATTATAAGATTAGTAGACAAATCGAAAAAATAAAAACGTTACGTAATATTGTGTGAAATTTAATAGCATAGAATTTAATGTTGCATAAAGGAATTGATTTAGAATGACAAGTGGAACAAGTGAAATAATACCGGGGACAATTAAAAATGAGAGTAGTAATAGTAACAATTGACTTAATAAGGAGGAGTATACAAATTGAATAGACAAAAATGAAAAAATGAAAAAATGGAGAGTTGGTAGAGCTAAAGTATGATTGGGGATTACCATACTTTAGCATAGAGGGATTAAGACCATGAAAGTTGGAGGGGTTGAACGAACTTCTTCTGTACACAGAGATCTGGCTTTTCTGTTTCGATGGCCAAAGCTTCAGCAATACAGATGAGTCGGGTACGTAGGGATTTGGGTAGATTACTCTTTGCCTTGTAGATGACTTTGAAGGCGGAGGCTATAGAGATAGGGTGATCATTCTCGACCAGATGTTCAATGATCGCGCTTCTTATTGCTCCACTACCACCTTTTCGTAACCATGCAGGATAGTGTTCTTGCACCCTCTTGGACAAAACTCGTGTCGAACGACCGATATACCTAGCTCCACAAGAGCAGGTGAATTGATAAACACACATAGAGTTGGTCAACAGCGAGATTTTGTCCTTCAGGTTATTGAACAATAATGGTCGACTAGAAAAGGCTATTCTCAGGGATGCAGCAGGGAATGTTCTTTTCAGGGATTGTGATATCCTCCGTTTCATGATATCGGAAGCTAAGTCCCCTTTGAATTCCAAGCTCATGTAAAGTGTCTTCTTGGGTACGGTTGATAACTCACGTTTTTTAGGATTTGAATGAATATTCTTATCTATAAAACGTGGTGGAAATCCATTTTCTATTAGGACTTTCCTCAAGATGTATAGCTCATCTTCCACAGTATCAGGGCTACATATGCGCCGAATACGAGTGGCAAGCGACCGGATCAGGTTTCGTTTTCGACCAATGGGTACCCAACTGTAGAAATTTGTCAGTTGACCATTCCATGACAGCTTGCGATAAATCGATCTTTTCAGGGTTCCATCGGTCCTTCTTGATAAGTTCACATCGAGGAAATGCATGCTAGACTCGTTCTCCATTTCGAGTGTGAATTTTATCGCCGGATGGCAACCATTAAATACATCTAATATATTATTTAAGTTACAATCACTATTACAAATAATAAAGGTGTCATCTACGTACCTTTTATAATCACAAACATTTTAGTTTTAATTGCACTTCATATTATTATTATTTCATGCATTCACACCTATGTTTCAATTCCCTCACCGGATATAACTTCTTAAAAACCATATATATACGATTGTACAGCTTGATGATAAATTCGTTGAAAAGAGTCTCTTCGCTGAATCATTTGTTTTGAACATGTATTCATCAATTCTTGTAGTCAATTCTTCTTCGATCCATATCGTTTTGTTTGCAAAGATATCTTAAAATGGAATTTTATTTCTCCATACATTTATTTACTGAACTACATTCATCAGAGAAGGATACCTGTGAAGTGTGTGGCAACTTGTTACAAATAGTTAGAGCCTAATTTTACATGATGGCACTGACTTTGTGTTTACTGCAAACAGATACTCGACCAGGAAGCTATGGTAATCCAAGGGACAACACCTTGCAATTTTAAAGGCTGGGTAGTGAGCTCAAAACTCACAAGGAACACCAACAGACTCAATTGTAAGCATCCACGGTCAATAGGTCTGGAATAAAATAAGATCAGTATCGTGGCTCTTACTGCTAGACATCGTTTTATTCATACTTTGTAAAGCACAAAAGAAAACTTTACAGAACTATTTGCTTTTATCGCCTATCTTTATGAGTAACATGTTAAAATATATTTTATCATTCTATAAAATATTAATTTTATTTCCTCCAGGTTCGTTTTCGTGGAGGTACTCAATGGTTAGTGCGTTTACGTAATCCATGGGGTGATAGTCATGAATGGAGAGGTGCATGGTCTGATCGTTCTCGTGAATGGCGTGAAATAAGTGATGAAGATAAGAAAGCTCTTAGGTTGGATTTCCGAGAAGATGGTGAATTTTGGTAAGACAAAGGTTAAAAGTAATTGCATTTCATTAGTTTGCATTATGCCGAACCCAGGACCTCCTGATTACAAGGCTAGCGAGCTCGCAGACCATTAAGCAGTAGCCACTGGGACCCAACCAGATCCGATGGTCAGCCAGTCCATGTATTCTAACTTCTGCCAATTCACGACATAGCGCGACCCCTAGCCAATGTCTTCGGCGAGTATTTATCCTCACACACAACCTGCTGCACCCTACTGGTCACGACTTCTCACTAGAACCCCCTACCTGAATAGGGCAAGTCGCTAGTGAGCATCTCATTGATATTCAAGTGTTGGTTTGTAGCGATTTGATTGGTTACAGGATTTCATCATTTCATTTCAACTGGGACGAAAAAGCTGTCCAGTACTCCCAGGTTTTCCAATGGTTCTCTAACTAATGTCAGATAATGATGAAATCCTGGAACCAGTCAAATCCCCACAAACCAACACTTGAACAACTATTGTTATCTAGTAACCTATAACATCTTAAAATTACCAGTTCACTGACACATTACTTCCTCTCACGACTTTTCTTTAAACACATTTTCAACTATACAACACAGTCATGCTTTATCCTGATTCATTTACATCCAGTGATTAATCAGCACACTTCGTCCAGCCACCTGGACGTCAAAGCATACTCACACAGCTCAGTGATGAAGGATACAGCGTAACGTGTCAGTCGGCTGTGAAAATTAGTACTAAATGTTACTTCCCTTGCTTAACCAATAGATTAATCAAAAAAGGTGTGACAACTAGTCATTCATCTACTAAAGTACACATAACTGTTTCGTTTTCATTGACATGTTCCACCATAGAGGTGAAACACGAAGCAAAATAATAAAATGTTTAAATAATATTTCTAAATTGATGAAGTCCAACTTCTGCATACTGTTTAAACTCAATTTAAACAAAATACACTTTTCATAGTAAATTCATGAAAGAATGTGCTTATTTCAAATACCTCAGTTAAGAAATGACAATAATAATAGTAATTTTATATAGTAGCAGTAGAATTCCTCAAAATAGAAATCACATTCTAAGTTGTTTCAACGTTCAATGACACATTTTGCTTCATTTACACATTGTTTTACTTTTCTGTGCAAAATATCGTCAATAACAATCAACACCATCACCACCAACAACAACAACAATAACAACTGAAGGATGTCATATGAAGACTTTGTTTCAAGCTTTTCAAGAATTGAAGTATGCCACTTAGGCTTGGAAAGTTTAGAACATGATCAAGATTTCCGTGGTAGAAGACGATTAGATGAAGCGATATTCGCTGGTCAATGGCAACGTAATGTAAATGCTGGAGGTTGTATTAACAATCGATGTAAGTTAATTATAACCTTTGTTGGTTTATTAAAGTTATGATACAGAATATTAATATGTGAAAATTTCACTCTACATTTTCTGTAATTTGAAGAGAATTATGAAGTAGAATTTGAGGTGGTCGAAATAATAGAGAAGATTTGTAGCTCAAAGTACAAATAGAAATTGTTCAATGTTCTGGCTAATTTCGATATTTAATCTTGAAGGCTTCACAACCAGGTGTGGTGATACTTTGAGTACTATTTTCATCAAGAACTGAGGTATATTTACTAGTTTCTTGAGTACTTAGGCATCATTACTTCTCTCACTGTGTTCCTTACTGTTATGTTTGAGTGTCATGCTTCTAGGATTTTCTTGCTGCTTTTGAGTTTGCATCTTGGGAGTCACTACTATTTCCTCAGATGAAGTTACAATTGTGACTGCTTACTTGCAGTGTCATGTCCTCTTACTGTAATTTTATGTTTATCAGTCATTTAGACAGCTGGGAAACTGAAATTGCTAATGTAGTGCTGTCAGTAGTCTTCGCTTTTTTTTCAAATTACTTTTATTTTCTTGAAATCCAAGTGGAACACAGGGTTTCAGCAGCGCAACTCCATTTCACCTAGTTCTCTGCAGCCTTTTTTAGCTGGCTTCAAGGTTGCCCGCAAGCAATCATTTCCTCCTCACAGATGATCTCTTTCATGTCACTCTTGCATGCCCATCTGGTTTTTTATCATTCCACTTCCACCCAAGTTCCTGGCGTGTGATGTCACTCAACAGTAAATCATCACATCTCGAGCAGGATTTGAACCTGTGAAGGGGAACCCCATTTTAGCATGGAAGTTATATACATTTTGACGAAATAACATTCCTTATTTAAAATATAATTACTGTAAGTATTTTCAGATCAACGTGACAGACAACAACAAATACTTATTAAATGTTGTCTCATATTAGTCACTCTGATATACTTTGATTAACTTTGATAAATATTTCAAATAAAACCACTTGTCTATAATCATATCACAAGGAAACAACAAAATTTCCATCATTTTTGATTTTTATCAATGCAGTTTTTACTTGTTCTACAATCAGGCAGGTAGTAAAACTCCTAACACCTCCAAAATACGCGTTTTGTAGGTTTTAATACACATACAATAATTCAAACCTTCTGCTTAATCATCTTAGTCTTTATTACTGTATCTGTGACAAAACTTATAACTCCTGTCGAGTGTTTTTGCTCGACTCCGCACTGTATAACGGTGACCTAATTTGGCTATTACTATTATATGTATGTTCAACTTATAATTGTTAAAATCCAAACGAATTCCCAGATCTTTCTAAGACACTTGAAAACTATCCCTTACATAGCGATCGCAGGAGATCCTTGAATACTCTCTTTATTATTTTGTCATTATGGTGTAGTTTCTTTCTCCTTCCTAGGAGTTTCGGAAAATCCACACCATTCTATGATCTGAATTCCTTTGTTTATTTTCTAAAGGCTCAGTTTTATAAAATGAATACTTCACCGAACCTTGTTTAACTAATAGTTTGAAGTGTTTCCTCGAGTTCCAAGTGGAAGGGTAGTTTTCGAAACTCTTGAGTAAGGCAATTTCTCTTTTTTCTCTTCATGATACTACTTTTTTCATTTCTTGTGTTCCAGTGGGAACACAGAGCCTCAGGCGCTGCAGTTTCATTAGCGTTGGTGTTGTTTTTTCTAAGTGTAGATGTCAGCCTCAAGCCTAACGTTTAGTAGTCTTCGAGTCGCTAGTATCTAGTAAATTAGGCAAGGTTTTGAAGTTTTTCAGTTGGGAGTCGAACCCAGACCAGATGTAACGTTGCAGAGCATCGTATCACTAAAATACCAGTGCACAGTAGTTGGAATTTTTAGCATCCCTTATATTGTGTACATGTCCTCTAGATACCAGTATCTAATACATCACCATAAGTTTATCGTATCCCAAGACATATTACTAAAGGGATGGAAACTAGACAAAACACACTTATCATACTGTATAATTGGCCTATAATGTCCTACTACAAATCCATGACTAGTAATACAGAGTAAGAATGTGGTGGCTAAACTTATAAGCCTTACATCAGAGACTCTCTTTCACGTAACCATACCCTACAAAATACAAGTGGATGGGATCTAAACTAGGGTGATGGGAGACACCAACAAATTGTCAACAAAGATAGTGTAAAGGTGTTGACCAGAAAATTCTTCAGTAATAATCAAAACTTCTTTGATTCTTTTTTCTTGTATCTCAAAAAAGTAACCTATTGGACAAATCCACAATTTCGTATCACAGTTGAGGATCCAGATCCTGATGATAATGATGTGAAATGCACAGTGATTGTCGGTTTAATGCAAAAGGATGTGAGGAAGAAACTTGGAGCAGAATTTCAAGCAGTTGGTTTTATGGTTTATAATGTAAGTTACTTGATTGTATCTCATGAAATCTTTTTTTAAATAAGTTAAATAAAACTTAAAGGTAAACCGAATTTTGCTGAGAATATTACATAAAATATTATCTAGATCATAACACACTTAAGTTTGATCGGTGTTGGTGGACTCATTATTTGAAAATAAACATGATCGTACAGCCAATAGAGAATGATTCAGGGGAAAAACTTCTTTAGCTGCTACATCTTTGTTTATGTTTTAAACAATCAGACGCCTAGTGATAGTAGTCGACCTCCAGCTGGCTTGGTATGTCAGCATCCATATTACCATTCCGTCAGTATATCAAATCTGAACTCTCCGAAATTAGTCGATGTATTTATTTCTCGATTAAGCGAGACTATTAGGTCCTCATTTCTGCACTATAGATGCATCCATAAGATGAATAAGATTTCCCAGGCTGCAATGTTACAGATATCTTGCTACTTATTATTCAAGATGTAGAAGCGAATAGTAGAATGTAATAGTTATTCATGACAGTATTTCTCAATGACCATTGAACTGAGCCCTCTCTCGTGTTTCAAAAGAAATAACATGGAAGTGATCTATTAGAAGTCCACGGAGCTTATCATATGGCAGAGAAATCGGTTTATCTGGAAATGTGGGAGTTTTCAGTAGACTGTGCTCATATAGTCCAATCGCAGTAATAAAATAAGCTGAGATTTTGTCACCCCGAACATTCTTCGGCATACACCATGCGTCAAAGCATTCAAGGTAATCAGCGATTCCCCGCGGCGAACCGTTGATAGGGAAATTTCCAAGATTACTTAATTCCACAGAGGCGCCAAAATGTAAGAGTTATTTGTAACAGTATTTCTGAATGAACGAATGACAGGAAACCAAACAAAAACACAGAATGAGCAGAATTTAGGAATTTGTATTTGGCCGGATTAAGTGTTATATATATATATATAATAAATATTAATAAACAACTGTACTCATTTAAACAATACAGTAATAGAAATTGTCAGTCACCAAATAGATCTGTAGTGGACTTTTATCCTGACATGTGAAAGATCCTCCGGGTGTTTATTATTATTATTTACTATTGTTTCCTTTAATTCCTAGAGGAACATAGGGCTTCAGCCGTGCGTCTCCATTGCGTTCGGTTCTCTGCTAGAGTCTTCACCTGGCTCCAAGTCTGCCCACACGTTTCCAAATCACCTCTCGATCGACGCCGTCAAAGGCCTTTTCAAAGTCGATGAAGTTGAGATAGAGAGGTGACTGCCATTCCAATGATGATCAGTAGTGTGGCGATTTGATCAATACATGACTTGTTTCTCCTGAATCCAGCCTGTTCCGGTCGAAGTTTTTCATCCAGGGCTTGTTTGATTCTCTCCAGGATGATGCGGCTTAGTATTTTGCTTGGGATGGACAGGAGCATAATTCCGCGCCAGTTCTTGCATTGACTTAGGTCTCCTTTCTTTGGTAGTTTGAATAAGTATCCTTTCTTCCAATCTTCAGGTACTTTTCCTTCTTTCCACACCTTCTCCAGTAGTGGCGTCATCAAGTCCGCTGTTGTCTCTGGGTCCGTTTTCAATGCTTCTGCTGGGATTCCTTCTGGTCCTGCTGCTTTTCCAGCTTTTAGCATCTTGATTGCCTTCAGGACTTTTGATTTCGTCGGGGAGGGTTGGTGTTCACTGGTAGCTCTGTCTCCGGGTGTTTAAAACGCCTCAATTTAGCTAGCATATAATACCATTTCACTTCGATGGTTTTTGGCTACATATATCAAACAGCAGTCTACACCATCATGTTATTTCGCTTTTTTTCTGAATTGCCCTGTGTCATACTAAGCAGACGATGGATTATGATTTAAATACTTTGGATTACTAAAAGTAACCTTTGCGAATTTTCATTCCTATGTGTACAATCTGCAAATAATTAATTTGGCTTTAAAAATTCCGCCCATTCTGTGTAATATTACCCCAGTATTATTTATGTTGTTCGCCTACATTACTAATTTAGACAGAAAGATTGACATTTATGAAATTCTGCATTTATATTTGAATATTTCTTTTCTTTTAACGTATTACTTTAACTAATCGAACTCCATTCTATGTCCTATGGGTTCATTAAACAAATTTCAGGCACCTGAAGATCAATCAACTTTACTGACACGTGCACAAATTTTAACCAAAACTCCTATTGCAAAATCACAATTTATTAATATCCGTGAAGTTACTGCACACTTCCGTGTACCTCCAGGATCATATATTATTATACCAAGTACATTCGAGCCAAATATTGAATCGAATTTTGTATTACGCGTTTTCTCGCAAGTTCCAATACAACAAGAGTAAGTGAAGCATAAATGTTTTCGTGTTACAATGTGATCAGTTAATTCATAAAAATTTGCGACTTTCGAGCACTCTTTATCACTATTATTGTTAATATTTCCTACTGGTTCCTTCACTTAGAGCTTCAGCACCAAATCTTCATTGTATCCTGTTCTCTGATCGCTCAGTATTTTCACAGAAATGTAGTTATATGTTATGAAACAAGCGGTCATGAATGTGCAGTACTAATAGTAGGACCAATTAGGAAAACCGATTCGAATGGATGTAGTTTTGAATACACGTACGAGTTCCTATCCTTAGTGAACAATTTGTTTTTGTTTTGTGATTCATTCAAATTCAGTAACTTTTTAGATACATAGGTCTTATCCTTCTTAGTAGCTCATTTATTACATAACAGTGCAGCTTTCCATCAATCTATATGAAATGCTTAACAATACTATGATGACATCAAACGCTGAAGCTATAGACGAAATTTGAAAGTTACATGACCTAATTGGATGAGATAAATTGATGCGGTTAAATAATGTTGAGTCAGATTAGCTTGTTGTGCTAAGTAACGTTAATGAACCATATTATTATTATTGTTCCCTTGGGTTCCTAGTGGAACATAGGGCTTCAACTGCACGTCTCCACTTGCTTCTGTCTTCTGCTGTACTTTTCACCTGCATCCATGTTAGTCCATACTGTTTCAACTCCTCTTCACACGATCTCCTCCATGTCACCCTTGCACTGACGTCCCACTCGCCGCTTCCCTTTCGGGTTCCACTCGAGCGTTGGCCTGACACGCGATGTCACCCAGTGGCCTCCTCAGCGAGTGTCCAATCCATCTCCACTTTCTCCTGCATATTTGTTGGGCGATTGGTTCTTGTTTTGTTTGTTCCCATAGCTTCTTGTTTGTGATTCTTTCCGGCCATCTGATCTTCAGTATAGAACGAAGACAGTTGTTGATAAAGGTCTGCAACCTGTTGGAAATATTCTTGGTGACCCGCCAAGTTTCTGATCCGTATAGAAGAACTGACTTGACGTTTGTATTGAAAATCCGAATTTTGTTGTTGATGCTGAGTGACGAAGATTTCCAGATTGGTTTCAGGTTGATGAATGTGTTTCTCGCCTTCCCGATTCTCGATTTGACATCCTCGTCCGTTCCTCCTGTACCATAATGAACCATATAGACTAGGAAAATTCACTAAAATAAGTAATATAAAGGAAGAAGTCAGTGTTTATAATGTTAACACAGTGATTCACATATGGAATATGGTTGAAAAAAAAATAAAACTTACGGAAACTAATATTTTTGATGAAGACAATTTAAAAGTTGAAAGACTCTGAAATCTTTCTTTATCAGACAAAAGCTCAGTACATTCAGTTGGAAAGATTCACTAGGAATACATGTTCTTAGTTAAGTTAGTACTGAAGATCCAGGTAGTGAAAAATGTTATTCAACGCCTACTTGCATATTCATGCAACTGGCAATGAGCAACATCAATTGTATGAAGGCTAATAAAACTATCTGACTGTCTGAACCGTGTTAGGTGGAATAGGGTTCAAACTCATGGTTCAGTGGTTGAAATGTCACCAGGTGACCTGGTGATAAACTGAACACGATCATTTGAGGCACGTAGTTAAATAATTTTCATATATTGGCATACATAACTGTACAAATCTTGGTAGCATCATGAAAGTCTAGTTGAAAAGTTGTGTGACAACCTTGACGTTATGAAGGGGACTAAGCAGACTGGAAGCCTTCATATAATAAGTGATCCTATATCATTGCGTTGTATGTAAGATGAATCAATTTACTCTCGAAGTGTATCCCAAAGTATAGTAATGCTCAGCTTCGTTTATTGTCTTTATTATCATCAACATTCCTGAAATTTTATTAATTTACAAAAGTTCTATTAGATAATCTAAATTTTGCATCTGTATTTATTTATGTTGGCTTTGTCGTTTTTTGTCATCAATTGCGTAATTACCTTCATTCTACTTTTAGAGAACTTGATGAAGACAACACTAACCAAGGCCTACCAGAAGTAAGTTATGCATATAATTATAAGGCAGGATTTTAACCCTAAAGGCTTATTGTGAAATATAGGTCTGTTTATATGACTATTTAGTTATTTTTCCTAAGATAGAATTATGAACGTCATAGTGAATTTAAGTTTGCTGAAAGAAGCTCAGTAATCCTCGCCAAGGTTTATTCACAGTTAACTTAATCAACTGGTAGGCTTAGATTGTTCTTCTCACTAGGTACTTAATGCATGAAATCCTTTCAAAACGTTTACACTTGATTAAACATTTTTTTAAAAAAAGCATCTTAAGATTAATTCATCTGCATTGTCTAAGATGAAAACAGTAGGATATATATATATATATCATCCAGTGTCACAATATCAAGCTGTGATGTATAGCTGTGAAATAAAGTTTAATCGAAGGTGTATTCCACCTTTAAGCCTTCCTTAAAACATCAGACTGCTTTGCTATGAGTGTTGTCCACATAACTGGCATTTTTAGAAAGTCAGATTCAGCCTTAGCTAACTAACATCAAAACACCGACATATGAACGACATCATTAGCTGATTCATCTATGTACACTGAAAAGAAACCTAGGAGATTGACCAAAATGCATAAACCCCTATCGAATAAATTAATACAAAGGCGTATGCAATGAGAGAAGTAAGAAATATGCAGTGCGCTACTACTGACTAACATCTTAACGAAACGGTGTAATCCACTGATTAACTTGTTAACTTTTAAGCATTAATGTAGATTCCCAATTAAAATTGTGTGTAAAGTGTCCTTAAAAATGCAAGTTTATTTCTAACATATATTCATGGATTATTTCTACTTCAGGATGTTATTGAAGCCTTGAAATTAGAAGACACAATATTGGTAAGAAATTACTTTTAATTAAAAATTTTACTATTATTATACTATGCTGAAAATTCTTCAATGTTACATGGACTTTTGAAGATAGAATATCCTCAAAAATAGATTTTCTGCGATTTACATAGTACAACAGATGATTAGGTGTAACTGAATCTGTTATTATTCCTTCTTTCATTTCGGATTGGCCGATAGGGCTACAGAGAAACGTCTCTATTGAACTCAGTTCCCTACGATCACTTCTAACCGGTTCCAGTACTGCCCACAAGCTTTCTTTTTGCTTTTTGTCGTGATCTACTCTATGTCGCCATTTGATGTTGACCTTATGGCTTCATATTCGGAGGTGTGGAGTGTGATATGACTCAACTGCTTTCTGCATATCAGTGCAATATTACATTCACAGTTGATTGGCTACCACAGTTCCTTCTTGCTTACCCTTTGTGGCAGATGATCAGATCTTCAATATCGAAGCAGCTAAGGTAGGTGTTGATGAAAGTCAACAGCAGGTTTTCGGAATAGCTTGTAGTTTGGTTGGAGTCTGTGAACAATATAGAAGCCTTGAATTTATATTAGTGTAAACATTCTGATGTCCCAAATGGTGACATGAAAATCCTCATGGGAGATATGAATGCAAGCCAAACTAGGAGCGGATAATTCAGGAAGAGAACTCATCATGGGTTGAGAGGCTCTCGGTCGGAGAAATGAATGAGCACGGAAAATTATTCGCAAACTTCTGAGCTTTCAATGATTTGGTGATCGGAGGGACCGTGTACAAACACAAGGATATACACAAAGCTAGATGGATTTCGCCTGATGGACATACCACAAACCAAAGAGATTTCATCTCAATTCTCCTCAAGGAAGGGGAGACGTGGCCTGCTGGACACAAAGTCAAGAAAGGGAGCCAATGTGTACTCAGACCACCATCTAGTTGAAGTAGCCTTCAAGGTGAAGCTGAAATCCCTCAAAACAACTGGAGACAGGCCACCGTAATTCAAGATCTTAGAACGTTTTATGAGATAACCAAGTCTTTAATCGAGAAGAAATCAACCCAGATGATGAAACCAATAATATATGCTCAAGGGAACCTGGTTACCAAGGAGGAAAAACAAATAAAACAATGGGCTGATCACTTCAAAGAACTCTTGAATCGACCATCACCTGCAAATCGCCAAGAAATACCACTGCCACTGTAAACACACATAGAACTGCCTGAGAGTGGACATCAGTCTTCGAGCGAAAGCAGAAATTCTGAATGCGATCAAGTTGCTGAACACCGGTCGGAAAGGCTGCAGGGTCAGACGGAATTTCACTACCCCGAAGCACTGAAAACTGACCCGGAGACTGATGCTACTACTGCGAGAGATTTGGAAGGAAGAAGAGAAAGGAGCCTACCGATTGAAAGAAAGCCTGGTTACCTTGTCAAGGTGTCAAAGAAGGGAAACCTGGTTAGGCCTGTGCAAGAAATGGCGTTGAATAATGCTCTTGTCGACGCCAAGTAAATACTGAATCGCATCATCCTGGAGAGAATAAAAGGTTTACTGAATACCGAACTCCGATTTCTGGGACAAGCTGGACTCAAAAAAGGAAAATCATGTCCTTATCAAATTGCAGTTCTGCGCATTATCATCGAACAAAGCATACGATGGCAGTCAAACCTCTCTTAATCTCACTTTCATCGACTTCTAAAAGGCCTTCGACGGCGGTGACCAAGAAGTAATTTGGAAACTGCCTCAATACTATGGCGTGCAGTGTTCAAGTTTGTATAAACCTCATTCAACAGCTAACTATATGACAATGCCGCATGTCAGGTGATTCCCAACAGAAAAGTCAACAAGGCGTTCGAAGTGCATACAGGAGTAAGATAAGCTGCAAGCCTATTATCACCACAGATGATATTCTTAGTTGTGGTGAACTGGATCGTGCATCGGATTGTGCTTTGGAAGCGATGATACAAGAATACGCTGGACCACCAATAAGAAGACTCTAGGACATTTGGATTTCGCAGATGACCTTCCTCTAGTGTCACACAAACTCGAAAACTTGCAGGCAAAAACTAACAAACCTGATGAAGAAGCAGGCAGCGAAGACAGGACTACAGGTGAACTTGGAGAAGACAGAGGTGATGAAGATAACCAGTGAACAGCAACAACCAGCATCAGTCCCCATCAAAGGGGGAGATTTGATAGAGGTTACTTCCTTCATTTATCTGGGAAGCATCGTTTCAGCCACAGGCAATTGGAACGGATGAAGGTGTCAAAGCCAGCAAGCCAGAATCGGAAAAGCAAGATATGCCTTCATCATCAACCTGAAACCAGTTTGGAAATCTTCCGCACTACACTCAGTATAAGGAGCAAGATTCGGATTTTCAACTGCAGCGTCAAGTTGGTCCTCCTATACCGGTCAGAAACTGGCACCTGGTGTAACGGAAAGCATTTCCAATAGGCTACTATGGACTTTTATCAACAACTGTCTTGGCTAGCTTCATAGTGAGGATCAAATGATCAGAAAGTATTAGCAACAAGAAACTCTGGCAACTAACTAGCCAACCAAGAGCCTATTACTCAAAAAATATGTAGGAGAAAGTGGCGATGGATCGGGCATACATTGAGAAGACCATCACATTAAATCGCGCGTCAGGCCACTGCTCGAGTAGAATCTAAATCGGAAGCGACGAGTGGGTCGTCAGTACGACGGTAACATGGAGGAGATCGTGTGAGTTAGAGGAATTGAGAGAGTTTAGGCAATCGTGGACCCAGTTGAAGACGATGGCAGAAAATAGAAGAAAGTGGAGATGTGTTGTTGAAGCCCTCTGTTCCACTCGGAACCCAAGGGAATAATAATAGTATAATAATAATAAACATTCGGGATCTTGTTTCTTTCTCTGTGTGATTTAGATCTCCACAGTGATTCCAAAGTATTGAACTAATGCTTTTTCGGTATGTGCTAGCTTTGAATTTCTCATTCGTGCCGTGCTGTCACAGTGAATTACAATGAAATTGGTTTACTTATTTACCCTAACGGTTTTTATTTTTCATAAATAACCTAACTATTGCGTAATCACTAATTCACCTGAAATCAAGCTAAGTTTTGAAGCTACTTATTATGAAAAGATTTGTAGGCTTTCTATATCATCTTAACTTAATGAAGACATTTCTGATGAACTATTTCTAAAGTCTATACAAATGTATTTATATATTCAACATGGGAAATTTAAAACCAGTCAAATATTAAGTAATTACGTTATAGGAAATGTCAGGTATTTGGTTTGCAGGGATTTGGTTGGTTACAGGACTGATCACGAACCATTGGAAAGCCAGGAAGTACTAGACGGCTGTTTCTTCCTACTTTATGACTCTTCATCAGTACGCACCGCCTGGAGTTCGAACCCAGGATCTTCCAGTTGCAAGGCGAGCTCATAGACTATTCAGCCGCTGGGATCCTCCCTACCCAGTGGTCCATAAGTTCCAACTCCTGCCAATTCGTGATATATTTAGCGCAACTGCTCTCTTCAATATCACAGGCGAGTAACTGTCCTCTCACCTGACTTGGTGGAAACCACTGGTTACGACGTTTCACTAGAACTAAGGTAATTTCCTCTAAAGAACCAGTCACCAGTGAGCGTCAGACTAATTATCAAGCATTGGTTTGCAAGGATTTGATTGATTACAGGATTGGAGGTTTACTCAATGTGAGGTACAGTCTAGAAGGAAATGTACAAGTAGAAATTAAAAAGCAGGAATTGATATTATAGTATAATTTATGCAAATATGACTTAATCAGTCTGTTGGTACAAAATGTGTAGAAGGTAGTGGAAAGTTTTCGAATGAATACTTATTATCAAACAATAAAGTGAAATAAAATTATCACAGATAAAGTGAGTGAACATATGCATTGTTTTTCGAACACAGAGGTCAGGCTTAAAGTCTTCGGTAGCCAGTGATTCGTCTATTCAATGAACGGCATATTCGAAGCCGTCTTGTGTAATATTGAAGAACTCTGTGTATCACTGTAAAACAGTACCTAACGTCTAGAACTGAGAAAAAGCTCGAGAGTAGATCTAATGGTATTTTTCTTCTCCCCTATGGCCAACCGCAATAAACAGTTTACCAAAATACTTCTACAGAATTCATGAACTTCGTTCCACAGAAATAAGTAAAATGGTAAATACACACTGAGATAGCTACAAGTAGTATTTGCTGGAGAATATGATTCTTAAGATAGCCACACAAAGGCTATTTTCCAGACAAATTTAAGGAATTTCGCTTTCAGTGTCACCTTCGAACTAAAAGGTTTATGAACCGAACTTTCTTAAAAGCACTTGTGACATTTAGTGAATTTCTAAATTCCCATGTATGCATTTAGAAAATAACAACAGATTGAGCGAAGAAATATGCATTCCTTTTCAGTTAGTTCCTCATCATCGCCTGGCTAGCTCTACACTAATATATAGTTTTTTACATCAAAATGTTTTACCAATCAAGTGGTTATTTTAGTTAATCAGTTTTAAGTATGGGGGTGCGTGGGGTGAAATCAAGAGATTGAAGGTCATCAAAACAAATAACTAATAGGTGTTAGTAACAAGATATCTAAGTTTCTGAAGGAGGGATGAAAATTAATTACGGAATTCAAGATAAGTTGATTCTTACGTGTTGGCAACAAGCTATTACGTAATCAAGACATTTGTAAAATAACAATGATGACTAAGAAGAATAGGATGACTCAGAAGAGTTACGTAAAATACAAACAAGTTAATAGGACTAGCTAGAATTGTAAAAATTAACAAAGTCAAAAGATAGTTACAAGGGGAAGGGGAAAAATTGTTTTTAAAAGCTTAATACATATTATGTATTTGGCCATGACAAAGAAAGGGGTTGTACAAATTTCTTTTGAACACATAAATTTGGCTTATTCAGATGAATTCTGATTGCCTCTACTGTATGTAAAAGTCGTACTCGTAGACCATGCGGCGAGAGGTTGGGTGAGATACGATAAATAACTTTGAAAGCTTTGTCAGAGTCGACTTAATGTCCAGTCAGTATCAACGAGATGAGCTAGTATTGAGCTGCGTATAGCTTTATTCAAACCTTTGTGAAACCAAGATGGGAGGTGTTCAGAAATTCGACAATAAACTTGCTTGATCGTGCACCCTATGTAACTATCCCCGCACGAGCAGTTAAACTGGTGAATACATATGGAAAAGGCGAAACAGAGCAGTCTGTCTCCTGGTGAATACACAGCATAGCACACTTTCAATACAGCTAGCTATGCTGTGCATTTTCGATGTAAAAACCTATATATTAGTGTAGAGCTGACGATGAGGAACTAATTGAAAAGGAATGCATATATCTTCGCTTAATCTGTTGTTTTTTTTTCTAAATATATTTGGTGAAGGCAGTTAGTCCCTCATTTCTCTGTCAATGAATGTAGATGGATATTCATCTTCGAATAAGGTGTCGTGTAAAGATTTCAAACGAGACTACGTTGTATCCTCTCAACAGACTTTTTGAATTCTTAAGCTTGACGTTAGTACTAGGTGCTTTTACACTCTTTAATATTAATACATTTAATATCTATCTGTATATTAGAAATGTTTGTTTTACAAAATGCTAATCTTTCAAATCTTTTCCTATTACTCTCTTCCCTCATGAATAATTCAAGAATGAAGATGAAGAAATTGAAAGGAAATTTTTGGCTATTCGTGATAAGAAAACTTTAGCTATAGATGCTCTTAAAATGGGTGAACTACTAAATGGAAGTTCATTGCAAGGTAAGCAAAACAAATTGTTTCACCAAATTTGATTTCATTCTCATACTACTCTTATGTTTACAAGTAGTATGCGAGCTTGACTGGCTGTTATTCGTTTTTCTGATCTAGATGGTTTAATTATGAAGCTTTCACTGTTTCTAGACAACAGTGTCAGATCTAACTTCAAAATGAAGTGACCCTTCACTATTATCAATGGCTATCGATTGTGATCGATTGTTTCCAGAAATGATGTTGTCACTATATTCACCTGTATTGGTGTTAGTCATGTAGTTGACTTATTATATGACCATTTTGGTGGGATGATTTACTCTTTATTGATTGACAGATGTGACATGTCTACTACATGTCCGTGAATTGCAAATTAGAGTGAGAACTCAAGCATTTTTCGAGCTTCCTCTGTTTATGGCTCTTACAATTACATCTCTAGGTGAATTGATGCAGTTGTCCACGTTCGACATCTTTTGACTGCCAATTTGTGCAAATAGATACGAAGATGAAGAGGATGTTTACTGAGGCTGTAGGACCTTATAGTTTGCATAATATGGAGTGTAGCAAATGAGCTGTTTTGTAGGCAACACCTATTCCAAAGGGTTTCAGTAGAATAGCAGCAATTTCATAAGTGTTCTTCATTATTATTATTTATTATTATTATTATTGTCTCCCCTAGTTCCTACAGGAACATAGGGCTTTAGCCACACGTCTCCATTGCGTTCGCTTCTGCGCCAACGTTTTCACCTGGCTCCACGACTGCCCACATGCTTTCATCTCCTCTTCGCATGACCTCCTCCATGTCAACCTCGGATGACCAACTCACCGATTCCCATTCAGGTTCCACTCGATGGCCTAGAGTGTAATGTTTGTTTCCTCAGAGTATGACCAATCTACCACCATTTCTTCTTGCATATTTGTTGCACAATCGGTTCCTGGTTGGTTCTTTTCCAGAGACCCTTTTGCTAGTGTTGAGCAAAGACAACTGCCAATGAAAGTGCTCTTCTTGACGTACCATGTCTCTGATGCGTATAGTAGCACTGACTTCACAATGAAGTTGAAAATCCGAATCGTATTTTTCATGCTGAGTGTTGTTGATCCCGACACAGACTTGACAGTAATAAAAGCCTGCCTTGCTTTCCCGATCCTCGCTTTGATATCCGCATCAGTTCCTCCTGTAGTTGAAACGATGCTTCGCAGGAAGGTATGTGAAGGATGTTGTTTCTTTCAGATTTCTCCCATTTATGCTGATTGTTGACTGTTGTTTTTGCTGTTGCTGTTGGCCAGGAATCTTCATCGCCTCTTTCTGCTCGATGTTAACCTGAGGTCCTATCTTCTCCGGATGCTTCTTCTGCCAACTTGTTGCTTTTCACTGGCAAATCTTCGAGTTTGTGGGAAATCAGACATATGTCATCGGCAAAGTCCAGATACTCCAAGTTTTTGTGTGGGTCCATTTTATGCCTGTTTCCTCATTGCCCGCTGTCTGTCACATTATCCAGTCCACGGCAATCAGGAAAATCATTGGCGATAGTAGACAGCCAGCGTTTCTTACTCCCGTTTTCACTTCGAAGGATTCCGTGAGTTACCTGTTGTGGATTACTTGGCAGGTGGCATTATCGTACACCTGCTGGATGAGGTGTATAATTGTTGGCAGCACCCCGTAGTAGCGAAGTAGTTGCCAAATCACCTCTCGATCGACGCTGTCGAAGGCCTTTTCAAAGTCGATAGAGTTGAGATAGAGAGGTGACTGCCATTCCAGACTTTGTTCAATGATGATCCGTAATGTGGCGATCTGACCAATGCATGACTTGTTTCTCCTGAATCCAGCCTGTTTCGGCCGAAGTTTTTCATCCAGGTTGGCATGTTTGATTCTCTCCAGGATGATGTTGTTTAGTATTTTGCTTGGGATTGACAGGAGCATAATGTCGCACCAGTTCTTGCATTGACTTAGGTCTCCTTTCTTTGGTAGTTTGAATAAGTAGCCTTTCTTCTTCCAGTCCTTGGGTACTTTGCCTTCTTTCCACACCTTCTTCAGTAGTGGCGTCATCAAGTCTGCTTATGTCTCTGGGCTCACTTTCATTGCTTCTGTGGAGATTCCGTCTGGTCCTGCTACTTTTTCAGTTTCTAGCATCTTTATGACCTCCAGGAATTCTGCTCCCACCGGAGAGTTGGTATCAACTGGTAGTTCTGCTTTTGCTGTTAGTATCATCGAGCGCGTTGTAGGTGGCACTCGATTTAGGAGTCTTTTGAAGTGTTCAGCCAGTGCTTCCTATACTCCATCTCTTTGGTGATTGACTTTACGTTGTAATCCTTCATTGGCTTAATTTGTGTTGGACCTTTCCCCTGTAGGAACTTAGTTTTTTGGCATAGTGTTGCGAGGTCTCCTTTGCCTGCTGCTTGTTCTGCTTCGCTTGCCATGGCTTCATAATACTTTCTTTTGTCTTCTCTGGCACATTTCTTTACTCTTTTGTTCAGTGTATTGTAGCTCCCATTCAACTCCTGTTTTTGTTACTCATCGATGTATTGGATAATCTTTTGTTTCACCATCCCTCTCTCTTCTATTAGTCTCCATGTGTCTGTGGTGAGCCACTGTTTGTCCCGTCTCTTCTTTCTGCCTAGAACTTCCATGCAGGTTTGACTCCACACCGCTTTCAGGTTGTTCCAGTGTTTTTCAACGCTAGTCTCTTCTCTGGTGCTGATTTGTCTCCGCCTTTTTCCGAATGATTTCATTGAAAATGTCCTTATGGCCTGATCCTTCAGTTTCTGAGTATTGAACTTGGCTTGTGGTCTATCTGCAGCTCCTGCTTCTTTGAAAGATTATGCTTTGATCTGGAGTGTTCGTTGAGCGAGAAAGTGGTCTGAGCTGACGCCTACTCCTCTTCTTACTTTTGTGTCCAGTAAGCTGCGTCTTCACTTCATTGAGCATCATTTAGACGAAGTCAATTTGGTTTTTGGTTCACCTATCTGGTGATACCCACTAAGCCTTGTGGATAATCTTGTGTTTGTATACTCAGCCGCCTATCACTAGTTCATAGAAGGCACAGAAGTCAGCGAAGAGTTCTCCGTTTTCATTCATCTCTCCAAGTACTTCTCAACCCATAATGAGTTCGGTGTTCATGTTGCCCATTAGGATTTTGATGTAATGGACTAGAGTATTGTCCATTGTTGCCTGTAGAACTTTTCCTTCTTTTCCAGTTCCGCGTTGTTTGTAGGTGCATAGTCATATAATTGTCACTCCCCCTCCTTTTGTGTTGAATTTGGTGGTCATTATACTGGACGAGATGGCTTCCCCTTGTACCAGGGCCTTCGTTGCCGTTGGTGACATCATGATAGTTACACCCTCGGTGTGCTCGCGGTTGTCTTCTGGATAGTCGGAGTAGGTCACCGACTCTTCCGTTGAAAATTTGGACAGTCCACTCTCATTCCATCTCCTTTCATATATTCCATACCTCTTCATCTCATTTGCAATCTGAGCAGCTCTGTCACTCTCCTACATAGGTGGACGTTCCATTTCCCCACGCATACTTTTTCTTCCTCAGCAAGATGACTCATCGTACTGAAGTTTCGGAAGCAGTTTTCTTTACATGGTGGGGTTGCTTGCCTCAGACCCGAGAAGGGAGTTGTTACATATATATATAAGTTACAGAGGAGCGACTTTTTGGGTTGCTCCCTTTAGAATCAGGAAAATAAGAAATAAAGCAATTGAAACAAAAAAACTGCAACAGTAAAAGCAGCGACAACAACATATAGATGTTTTTAAAAGCATCTGTTTGAATACAACTTTACCAACAACCAAATTACTTCTGCTCATAATAGCTAGACATGTTGGTGTTAAAACATGCCTGCAAAGAATTTCTTGTACTACAAGTGAGCTGCAAAGTTGTAATACTTTATGGGATTACACGATAAATAACACACAATCAGCATTACCAGCCAGTCCGAACACTTCAGAGGCCATGTATTTGAGAACGACTACCAAGCAGATGGGTGCTGCAGAATCGAAGATGTGACAGCAGTTACTCTTGCGCAACATACTATGCATATGAACAACTGAGAAATGAAGACCAGAGAGGGTATACCGACTTTTAGCCTTAGTGCGAGAATTTCCATCTTTGCTGCAAACACTGATGATTTACGTTAGAGAAGAGAAATATGTTTAGTATAGAATGATTTCGTTGGCACAACTTACTACTTAGGAATGATTACAGGGATGTCAGATTGCATTGAAAATAATTAAAATCATTACAAAAGGAAGAAATCTGTAGAAATTTAAGGTTTTAAATGTTCAAACTTTGGAACGGCACATTAAAGAGTATGAACATATCACTCACTACTCTTACTGTCGTCCATTTCTAAACACAAATTGTCATGCTCTGATAATTCTATTGAACTTCAGGCATCAAGTTATCTGACTCAGAATTTTTATGTCATTCTGGTACTGTGTTCAGAGTAAATTCTTTATGAAGCGCAACAAAGAGTAACAAAAGTACCAGAGAACATCGCCAAGATTTTGATGTAGTTGTGTTCTCTGAGCTGGATAGTTTATTTGCGAAGCTTTCATCGCCCTACTTGGAAACATCTTCAGCGTATACTTCAATTCGAAGTGAAATTTTAGATTTCCCCACGAGTTTATTAGTCATCTCTCCTAGTAACCTTGAACATGATTGGTTGTTTTTGTGTGTTTTCACACCCTCTAAGCTACTTGTATTGGAAGTGACTGTTTCTTTGACTTGAACTTTGACCCTTTGTGTGTGAGGTTTCCTTCTTATGGGTTGGTGAATTTTGTCTATGTCTATGCGGACGTCCCTTTCGTCTTCCTATCCATGAAAATAAACTAGCCGTCAGAAGACGTGACATCCACTCCCTCATATCGCTACATACAGACAACCACGGACATCAATTCGACTTGGACAACCAGCGTTCAAATATTAGACAGAGGAAACATCAAGAACGCTATACATTTTTTAGAAGCCTGGCATTCCAGTGAATCATCAATCAATAGACACTTGGAGATACACAAAATTAACCAACCGACAAGAAGGAAACCTCACACACAAAGGGTCAAAGTTCAAGTCAAAGAAACAATCAGTTCCAATACAAGTAGCTTAGAGGGTGTGAAAACACACAAAAACAACAAATCACGTCCAAGTTCACCCATCAGAAGAGCTGATTAATAAACTCGTGGAGAAATGTAATAGCTCACTTCATCAAATTGAAGTATGCTCTGAATATGTCGCCTAGTAAGGCGATGAAAGCTTCGCAAATAAACTATACAGCTCAGAGAACACAGCTACATCAAAATTATCCACCTGAGTTACAAATCTCCTCCATCATATTTAATATCGCCAAGAACCAACCAGAGACATTCAACATCATTTCATAATACTTTCAGTCTTCAATCACAATAACATTTTACACATAACTTTTATAATAACCTAACTCGTGATTACTATAGAGATTCTAGGGTTTTTCAGGAAATGTATTCATTCATTCTGGTTTCAAATGTAGAAATGATAATTTCACGAATGATTTTCCATGAATCAATATCTTTCACCAGTTAGATACATCTTAAATTAAACTATACATACCGGTTTTAGGTATTAGCGAAATTCTACATTAAGTATAACTGATAAATAAATAATATTATTTCATTAAATCCAATATTTATTAATATTGAAACTGCCTGGAATAGACTTGGGTTGATAAGCTGGCCTTAAAGTCATGACAGTTCGACAACCCAAGTTAACCCGAGGAAGTCACATCATCAATTAGCAGTCAACTCCTCTCCATTTAAACGAAACATGATTGAAACTAACAAGAGAAGTCCTCCTTCAACAGCTGGTGTAATGGTTAACGGATGTTTACATATCATTTATTCACAGGACAGCTGGGTATTGTCGGTGAAATGGTGACCTGATTAGCAGATGGGTCATGAAGGTCAGCTTGTGGACAAATGGCTTAATGAATCACAGGCCTCGGATTCCTGTCTTATCGCAAGACAGACTATAAATGCATACTCCATCACCCTGCATTCAATGAATCAAACATTACTTTGGAGTTTCTTTCCTCAAATTTATCAATAACTAACTCCTCCAAGGTTTCATTCAGCTGTCATCTGACCTGTTGATAGAAGGTACATTCATCCAGAGATGGTATGAAACACTTACAACTCAATTATTTCACACCGCCACTGAAATTTCTTGGGCTTAACGACCTTCTCATGATGAGACAGTTCATAATTGTTCTTTTACTCCACTTTCCTCTTCCATTGTGGGTAAGATTTACTGTGATAAAGTCTCACGGTGTTAAACAGTAATATTTACTGACGATATTTCGGGAAAAATTTATTGCGCATAATCATATCAAGGTATACGTGTGTGAGTACCTTGATATGATTATGAGCCATAAATTGTGCTCGAAACATCACCAGTAAATATAACTCTTTAACACTGTGAGACTTTATCAAAAAATAAATTTTACCCATAATGGAATTATACTCTACCACAGTGCACAAGTTCTATTCTTTTACCCTTCTTTCCTCTCTTTTAGATATACCAAATTTCAAAGGATTCAATAAAGAATTATGTCGTAGTATGGTCGCCTCTGTAGATGTATCCTTTAATGTTGATTATTTTTGTACTCCCTGTATTGTTTTTGTACAATTTTATACTCATATCAGTATCATTATTATAAGTATTAGTAGAAATCATAATCACTTTGACGTCGATTTGTTCTCTGAGCAATACTTTCGTTGTCAACATAGACAACATCTTCAGGGTTAATTCCAAATCACAGAACTTAACATCAAAAACATCCGAATGGACCACAAATCTTCTGAAACCATTTCAAACCGTAATCTGCTGAGAAGTTATCAGGAGGTTTCTAGACTTATTTGCAATTGTATGGTGAGTAGAATTAAACCAAGTAACCCAAGTCACTTGGAACCAAAAATTACGCTGGTGTTTATTTTTCGCATCACACTTACAGCCAGTCACTAGTCAGTTCTAGTGAATAAAAATATCAAACAACCAACACTGAGATAATCTACATATACAGTGCTCCATTATCATATCTGGATAGAGGAAATTTGATCTGTTTGTGTGTAGTTGAAAGTACGCAGTTTCTTTGAGTCTACTAGAATATGGCTGAATTGAAATGTGCAGTAAAAATTCAAAAAACTGAATTCAGATTAGTCACAAACCTCTTTATGTGAATGACGTTACATGATATTCATATAAATTGAAAAGTGTAAAGAAACTGTCTACCTTCTTCAATTACTTTTACTGAGAATTTAGAATTCCGAGGTAAAATTAATTTGAAAAAGTGAAACATTTGCAAGCATTTTACCATCGCACAATTTTTACTTATCACTGCTATAATACATCTTAACCTGTAATCATATATTTAGAATAATTTAACTGGTCTGGTGGAATTGAATGAATTCATGAATTTATGGGTTCAAGCTAAAGGATGGAAGGTGAGTTATGCCTAAGTATAACTTAGTCAAACTACTCACAATTTGATCAGTAGTAACAAAACATTTACAATATTTTTAGTTGCGTTATTCACTGATTGCCATTTTTAGAAGTCATTTAATAAATAGTACTGTACACATCACCCTGTCTTATATCAAAAAGGCAGACAAACAATTTTGAAGTTACTTGTTTTTATGGTGGCAAGCAACTGGATCCAGGCAGCGCTTTTAGCAATATTTCATAATCGTAACTGGATGCCCCTGCTGCCCGGTAGATTGTCATTTTCCCAATGATACTAATACCCAGCTTTGGCAGCTTCAAACACTAAAGCGTTGTCTACCAGTTGCCAGATGACCCCAAGGATCACTACTTGTGCAAAATATATGATTTAGAAATATTTAGTGATAATTGTAATCTAACAGTTATATTATTCCCACAGAACTTAGCAGCATAGTTCTAGCGAATTGACTGTGAGCATTTCTAGTTTTATACTATTGAGTAGCATGTCTGTGTGATAAATGGATCAGCTACCGACTTTCTGGGGTACTATATTTAAAGGAAACTAAAAAATTGGTGATTATAAAGTAAAAGTGTGGAAAGCATATAAATAAAAATGAAAAATATTGTGGTGTATACGATTTTTAAGGAAATATAAACAAATGAAATTTAACCGGCGAAGTTTTCTGTAAGTCGTGTGAAAAAAACCCATGCATGATGCTTACATTAGATACTATAGTGTACTAACTATATCACACCATGCTCTGCTGTACTTTTTTTTTCCTTCACGTTCCCCAGTGGAACATAGGGCTTCAAGCTAGTGGCTTGAAGTTTCTGTAGCAGTGTTTATTTTACAGGATGGGGTTGCTAGCCTCATGCCCAACTTTTCCTCTTCACCAGCATTATTTCTGGCTTAGAGAGGTAAAGGAGTACGTCGGCCGAGGATAGAACCCTGGACCATGTGGATGGTCGGCGAGCGTCCTAACCGCTATGCCACTGACGCTCTGCTGTACTACAATACACCATACTTTATCACACTTTCTTATTAACCACATAAAATCCTGAAACCAATCAAATCCCCGCAAACCAACACTTGAATATCACACTGATACTCACTAGCGACTGGTCGTATTCAGGTAGGTAGTTACTTGGATTCTGGTGGGAAGTCGTAACCAGTGGTGTACAGCATGTCTGGTGTGAGGAAAAATACTCGCCGATTCTGCTATTGGTCGCGCCATATCATGAATTGGCAGAAGTTAGAATTTATGGGTCGCTCTGTCGGGTCCCAGTGTTTGAATAGTCTATGAGCTCGCCTTGTAATCGGAAGGTCCTGGGTTCGAATATCAGTGTGCGCGTACTGCTAAGGATTCCCAAATAAGGCTGACGAAACAGCTGTCCAGTACTCTCAGATTTTCCAGTGATGTCAGTTCATGATGAAAAACATAAAAACAGTTTATGGCCATCTCACCGACGTACATATTACTGAGTGACAGAAGCAGTCGGAAACCACTCTTGTTAATTCATAGTATCTGCTAGCCAGACTGAAGTTATTTAATCACCGTATGACTGTTTAACTTCTTAGAGGAAGAGATTATCAAAAGTGGACCCTGTTAAAAATATCTCAAACGGCTGAATGAGTTCACACCATTCTAATTCTCGCGAACTCCTAATACACAGGCATGCACCACAGTTTCCATTAGAAACCCAAAATATTCATATCATAATCTGTGATCTACTTGATAACATAAATGTCATTCTATTAAGTAGGAATAATCGTATGTTGTTATATAGTGCTGATTGTGCATCGGTGTCACAGCGGTTAGGACGCTCGCCGACCATGTACATGGTCCGGGGTTCGACCTCCGACCGACTACCGATATCACATGTTGAAAATTCCATACTTGTACCAAAATACTGTGTGGAATCAAGCTATAATAAAATTTAATTTTAAAAATTTAATTTAATTTATATGAGTAGTTGGAAACCACCTATATCTAACTACTCATATCATTCAGTAGTATGTACCAGCATGTGAAGTCCACTGATGTCAAATAATAGGGCTTACCAATGAAATACTGATAATTCATTTCCTGTCGCTCCTATCTAATAAATCTCTCCTAAAATGTAACGGAACAAGGTATCACAAGTAGCATCCCACTAACAGATAATCATTTCAATGTGTTAATAGCTCTTTAGGTTTACGGTCACCACTAGGGCTAGGGTCAAGTTAAGGGTTAGAATAAGGGTTAGGCCTGAGGTCAGGTTAGAGTTATGATTAGGGTGAGGATTAAGGTTAGGGCTAAGATTAGATTTGGGGTTGTTACTATATATTCTTGGTATTTTTGTTATCCTCATTTTCCTAGTAAATAGTTGTCGATCCCCTTACAGTCTTTTGGGGGAGACTGAAAACAGAATAAGAGCGATAAATGGGTCACAATAAGGACTCATTTTCAGTCACCTTAGTGAATACACTCACAGAAACTGGTTTGATGTAAAACGTGATACTCCTAACTATAATTTAGAGATGATTTTAAGTCATGTTAGGGAAAAACATCCTGTTTCATGTGTTTTCACGTATTTCTCTTGTAAACAAAAGTCATTTTGATGCAAAATCCACTGTATTTCCTGACACGTCGGCTCAAGGTCACGCGTGCATTCGCATTCCATGAACCGCTGTAGTCTAATTTTGCCGACACATTATAATTACTGTAGACAGTCTTCTAATTACTAAGTCACTTTGAGGGACGCCAAGTTCACTGAAAATACAGTTGACTTTCAAGAATCTGAAAAGATGTACACAATTTCAAATTGATAAATAACACCAGATATATTGCTTTAATGCATGCTCAAAGGTAGCAGGACCTTTCGATGTGTAGTTTGTTCCCAATAGTCCTCAATGTCTAAAACTCTGAAACACACATACTATGATGAAATTTAATCATCAATGCTCTTAGCCTATCATCCTGTGTATTGACTGAATAATCTGACGGTTTCTCTACCTTTTGTACAGAGATACTCTACTAACATGATAATCTAGAGTACCTGTAAATTTAGCCTAACAGTTGATTGGTGATTACGTCTATGAAATCTGTTTGTGGTATTTCTACCAAATGTTTAACACTAGAACATTTTATTATTTAAAAATTAGTTTTGTTTCTCTGTCTTACTTGCTTTTATTTTTCTCCATATTTACTTAGAATATTTTCCTTAAACATGACATTGATCAAAGCGGATATTTCAATGCTTACGAGTTAAGAGAAGCTTTGAATGATGCAGGTATGTGCTTTTTGCCCACGTTAAATGATACAATGTTAACTGAAGATTTTTTTTCTAAAAGTTGCGTAATCTGTGGCTTGCCTTAATTTATAAGTGACTGACTGCATAAGGTACATCGTTAGACGCTAAGAAGGATACCAAATTATGAGTGAGTGAGTGAGAACAAGAATCACAGCATGATATGATTTATCTGAGAATCGTCTAGTCTAGCGCCTTGTCTTCTACAGACCATTAGTTTTATCAATTTTCGTGGCACACTTACTACTACAAAGAGACCTGCTGTCAAACTTCTAATGAGACATAATAGAAATCAAGGAAGACCATCGTTAGAAGTGAACATGACGGAAGTTATTATGTGTCAGCTATACCGGTTGATGATGTGATATGTTTAAAGCATATTCTAAGACATTCTAAGACAACAGAGGGATTTATAAATGAGTGAGAATCTGTACGAACTTATTCTAATACATTTAAATAAGTGAATAAAAAAAATTTTCTTCACGTTCCCCAGTGGAACATAGGGCTTCAAGCTAGTGGCTTAAAGTTTCTGTAGCAGTGTTTATTTTACAGGATGCGGTTGCCAGCCTCATGCCCAACCTTTTCTCTTCACCAGCATTATTTCTGGCTTAACGAGGTAAAGAAGTGCATCGGTCGGGGATCGAACCCCGGGCCATATGGATGGTCGGCGAGCATCCTAACTGCTATGTCACCTACGCACGAGGCTGGTCGTGGTGGCGTACGCCTGTAATCTAGCTACTTGGAGGCCAGGGTGTGGAATTTCGCGGGACCGGGAGTTCTGGCATATGTGTGCTCATGTTGATAGGGCGTCCACGCTAAGCACGGCGCCAATATGGATGACCTGTCGGAGGACGGGTTGTCTAGGTCGACTAAGGAGGGGCGCACCGGTCCAGGGGGAAATAAGTGAATAGCATCCCTATTAATGCCAGTCGATTAAGTTCAGAAGGGTTGAATGAAAATTAAATCAATCAGTAGAGGTTATGCAACACATGTGGAAATAAGTAGTAAACACTTTGTTCAAATTCCGATTCAACTACAAACAAGTTCGTTTGTTCAGAAAAAGGACACTGAAGAAAATCTTCAACCACGTAAACTAGTCTTTGAGTATCTTTGGCATTTAGCTTCCAAATCTTATTCTCAACTTTAAATTTCCAAAGATGATGTAATGTAACCGAAATATGTTAAAATGAATAATAAATTGCATTGTTTTTGTCTGTTCAGTGTTTTGCAGCATCACTGCCATTTTTTTAGATGTCCAGGATACAATAAACTTTGATTGAATGAGTCAGTTGACTTCAAGAAAGGCTGATATGTTTTTTTTCATATCCGCCATGATCTCCCTTACCTCTTTCGATTAGAATCATCTATCTTATTCTACATCATATCAACTGGTATAAAATGTAAACTGAAAAATGTTCTGTGAAAAATTTCACTATCTCACATTAGTGCTATTCGATCGTTGTTCTTACATGCCTTAAACAATAACAGGAGCCAATTAACACTGTGTTTCTAAATGATAAAGTATTAATGTTGCTCAGATGGTCTCTCTTGCTTTCGCATTATTAAGTTCTTCAGTTTTAAACTGGTTGTATGTGGTGCTTGCTATCTCTAGAAGGAAACTGCGGATTGTTCTTCACTATATCATCCGATTCAGAAAACAGAAAAGCGCCAAATAATGTATATATATACATGTCATCAAGTTAGAAAGTTTTCTGTAACACGTGAATTTATACAGCATCCTGACAACATTTTAGCCTGCATTTCTTGACAACTTAAAACTGTAACGCCACATAATATAGATCCCACTAACACCAACCAGTAGTGCTTGCTAAGCAGGTTGGAGAGATCAAACCACTGCGGGTCATTTCGCTCGTTTAGGACTGAGCTCATCATTACCCCATCAGGTTAGAGTCAGCTCAGAGATGTGAATACGCTGAAATGACCTGAGTTCTTGCTGTTATTAAACTACCTTCGTAATGTTATGTAATGTTGTATTACCAAGTTGAATTTGAGAAATTAACCCTCTTCATTTGCGCTTTATTCATCTGCATTTAGGCTTTCATGTCAGTAATCGATTGTTCAATGCTATAGTACACCGATATCAAGAGCCTGGGACAGACAGAATTAGTTTTGAAGATTTTATGCTATGTATGGTAAGATTGAAAACTTCTTTCGAAACTTCTGAAGCACATCCAAAGAATCTTGAAGGCACATCGCTATTTAATAACGAAGATGTGAGTTCATAGCTTTCTTCTAAAACACTTTTTTCTCACTTTAGGATAATAAAACTGTCAGTATCTGATTTCTATAATTTAGTTTTACTTTGGAACTTCAGAAAGATCAGATTAGTAAAATATCCTTATTTATGACAAATATAGGTTGTTAATTTTTATTATTCCTTTACGTTCCGAGTGAAACACAGGGTTTCGAGCTTTAAGGTTTCCGTAAAAGTGATGTTTCCACATGGTGAGGTTGATTGTCTGGCGCCTAACCAATCCTTTTTTCCGAGCTTACTGTGAGTTGGTAAAATAAGTGGGATTTAAGAGTTCATCAGTCGGGAACACGGGACCTGGACAACGGGAGTAATTATCGAGCATTCTATCACAGAACAACCTAATCAAAATTGGTTGGATAAAACCAAAGCCAAGTACATCATGATCTGCACTAGTTATTCTGTGACGATTTGCTTAAAGTCCACATGTAACTGCTTGTTTTGAGAAAATTATGTTGAAATCCTCCTGCAATCTTCTAAACACCATCTAAGAAAAACTTTACTACACATTATTATTGATTTATTCCAACTACTGATCGCAGAATATTTCCTAGTTGTTATTAGTTTCATTTATTATTGCTTTACATTCCCAGTGGAACAGGGCTTCAAGGTAGAGGCTTGAAGTTTCTGTAGCAGTGTTCATTTTTACAGGATGGGGTTGCTAGCCTCATGCCAAACCTTTCCTCCTTACTAGCTTTTATTACTGGCTTAGAGAGGTAAAGGAGTGCGTCGACCGGGGATCGAACCCCGGACCATGTGCATGGTTGGCAAGCGTCCTAACCACTGTGCCACCGGCGCACACTCATAGCTGTGAGGATTCGATTAGTTTCAGATCAATATTTCATAGGCCACCAGTTTGTTTCAATCTATTTTTAACTATTCTACTTTGATTGTAAGCTATTAACTGCAGATCACTTGATGATATGGTAGTTCGCTTCTAAGTAGTAGTCAACATATTCGTAAATTTTAAATATTGAGAATTAGATGACCGATTAATATGATTATTAGTGCATAATTATCCTTTTAGCGAAATTATTATTATTATTTACTCAAGTATGCAGTTAACACTCAATACTATATATATATATTTTTTCTTTCTTTCATCTAGTATCTACGATTTGCTGTTTATATCTGAATTTTGATTTGGCCGCATCTAGTGAAGTCGTTTTTAAACAAAATAATAATAAAATTCATTGACAATTTCGCTGTTTCCATGTTTTATGTTCACTTATTTATTGTAGAAGATAGAAAGACATAAACACGTGGTTTTTCTTCTTTTTTTATGAAAAAATTTAAAATAAAACTTTTATACACGCTTCAGAATATTTTATGCGTAAATTGTTCTCGTTCGTTCAATTTTCAATATGCGTTAGACAAGATTGTTAGATTACTGACTTTTAGGTGTTTAAGAAGCATATGAAAACAAACACGTAGATCAGCGAATAGTCTCCCTTTGGCAAATTCATTTTCTTAGCTGTACAATCGCAAATATACATGTGTTATTTTGTATGTATATTTGAAGGAATTACTATTGAGATGTACTCTGAACGTCCAGTTCGCATTCAACGGCACCATCTACAGACAAAAAGATGGTATTGCTATGGGATCTCCGTTAGGTCCACTACTATCAGACTGCTTCGTAGCAAGCCTCGAGAAAGGTCCTTTAAAGCCGAACATTGACAATTTGCGACTGCATAAAAGATACGTAGACGACATATTCATTATTTGTGACAACAACAATGACCCCAATCTACTGCTGAAGACATTTAACTGTTTCCATCCAGCAATAAAATTCACTCTTGAAATGGAAAACGAGTCAAGAATTCCGTTTCTTGATGTGGAACTAACAAGAAGAACAGATGGGAGCCTAAGAAGATCAATCCATAGAAAACCTACTTGGAATGGTCAACTAACAAGCTTCTATAGCTGGGTACCCATTCAACAAAAGCGAAATTTAATTAAATCACTTGCCACCCGCATCCGACGCATCTGTAGTCCCGACGTTCTGGAAAAAGAATTAGATATTCTAAGAGAAATCTTCATCCAAAATGGATACCCAATAAGATTCATCGACAAAAATATCAAACCAAGAATTCGGAGGAACGAAACTTTAATTGCGCCTAAAAAGAGACTCTACATGAGCTTGGATTTCAAGGGAGATTCAGCAAGCGATATTCTAAAGAGAAGGATCACTTCATCTCTGAGAATAACATTCTTCGCAGCAACGCTAAGAATAGTGTTCTCCAGTTGCCCACTGATCTGCAGAAGCCTCAAGGACAAGATCCTGCATCTGACCACTTCTATGTGCATATATCAGTTCACCTGCTGCTTTGGAGCCAGGAACATCGGTCGTTCGACGCGCATCCTATCCAAGAGGACTCAAGAACACCATCCAGCATGGTTGCGAAAAGGCCATAGTAGTGCTATAAGGAGTGAGATAATTCAATACCCGGTTAACACTGACCATTCCATCTCAACAAACGCCTCCTTCAAAGTAATCGACAGAGTCAAGAATAACCTATCAAAGGCAATATGGTTTCGTGTTCTTTGTATCACTGAAGCTCTGGCCATTCACATAGAAAAACTGGATCTGTGCATACAAAAGAGGATTACTCAACCACTTCTACTGTCTTGATACCAACTTTTTTTATTTTTTTTATTTGATGACTTAATTTTGTTTCTTTGCCTGTTCTTTAATTGCTTATAATTCTTGTATTCATTTAGAACTCTAACGTAATTTCGTATTATCTACTTTGTTCCTATGTGCATCCTGAGTAAAACTCACTCATCAAAATATTCATATCATTACATAACTTCTTTTAACAACTGTTTGTGACAACTCATCAGTTTTGGCAAACTTTTATATTTTCCTTCTGTAGTTATACAGCTGAGTACTTATCCTTATGGAACGAATTTTTACAGAATGAGGTATATTATTTCAAATAGTATCTATATATAGAAAAGAGCCATTCATTCCTGAAAGCTTCAGTGCCCGAATGGAATGTCAAGAACGCTTAATTATTTAATTTTTTTTAATTTTGAGAAATGTCTTTTTAACCCTTGACTTTGAATTCAGTGCCACTTAGTTTACACCTCCCTACATTGGCTCAACCCAACAGTTGAAGACTTTATGATTTGGTGCCATGTTTTCATCTGACCACATCCCTAAGACTTTTAAGATCTAATTCTATAACGGCTAACGTTTGTCGCTGAGGAATTAGGTGATTTGGTCATCGCAATATTTGAAGTCTCAGTCTTAACCTAAAACTAGATGAAAAACTATGTTGTCACGGACGATATTATGTCATTAACCACAAGAATTGGTAGGCAGACACATTCATACAATTTACTCCCTATTTTTAAACTGGAAGTTGATGCAGGCCTAATAACATAACTTTACATCTGATGAAGTAGATTCAACCTTCTAATGTTCTTGATTTTCGTTGAAACTCATTCCATGATTTATCCAGAGTATGATTATTCATGTCTAAAAGTGTGAATGAGTTATTTAGACTTATAATAAATGCAGTACACTCCATAGGAAAATAAGCTGTCTATATGATGAATGAACCATGCTTCAAAAGAATCTGATTATCGGCATACTTTTCTATATACGCATAAAAATTATCGGTGACTTAAAGAGTTCATCTACAATTGCAATCATATTTACCGGGCTCTACTATATTAGACAATGAGAACTCATTTATTCAAGAGTGAGCCTTGTTTGAAAGCTTTTCGGTAGATCATCATCATCTACTAAGGTGGAATCTAGGATGCACGTTTCGTCCTATTTCGGATTCGTTAACTGGATGTACCTGCAGTCCCTAGTGGGAACGCCACCACTCACTGTGGACTGTAGGTACATCTAGTCACTGAGTGCCAGAAATAATGAGATGCGCATCCTGAATTCCGCAGCTAGTCATCACCAATCACCTCCACGTTGATCCTCAGACATCGTCGAATAGTCCGTACTAGGAGCTTCTATGTCAGCAGAGACCAAATATCTAGGTCCAACTTAATCAGTCATCAGAGAGTGCAAAGTTAACTTAAACCAGTTTATTTGAAACGTGCATAAAAATTTTACCCAAGCATAAAACACCAGAAATATTTTCACTCTTACATTTTACACTGTGTCATTTATTATTATTATTATTATTTATATTATTACTTGTATATTACTTGTATATTTATTACTTGTATAATTCTTTAGGCGTGTAGATGTTTAACTGTGGTAAAAACAATTTTGTACTTTTTTAACTACTGAAAGACGTTTTAAGTAGGCACACTTTATGTACAAAACGTTTAGGCTATAAGTTTGGCAATCCTATGATAGAATCCATCCACTTTCTGTATGCATGTATTGCTGTATAAATTGATGGAATTCCATTCAAGCCACATTGAATGCCTGATGATGCAATACCTGCAAGGAACCAGTTCTGTTCACAAAAAAGAAGGATAAAAAAGAATTTCGTGTTATGAATAAGATTACAAAATCATTTTATAATAATGGTTACTAATGTAACTGTTTGAGTCTCAACAGAATTTAGTTCAGTTACCGGTTCGAATTCTGTTTAGTCTCAGTTACTGGGTCATTTACAGCTACAAGGCTACAAGATTAGTGGTAGCAGTAGTAGTAATCTGAATGTCTAATACATTTGCAAATTGATGTCTAAAGAGAACATGACTACCTGAGCTTAATAGACAGACCAACGCAGATTTGTGTAAGGAAAAAAGGTCATTCACATAAATGAATCGGACAAAAAACTACAAACATCAATATGCGACAACTATTTGCAACATAAAATGGGCCAAATTCCAAAATTACCTCTAGATTTGATGACCTTCAAGGACATCTTGTATGAGACTTGAGTGTGTACTTGTGAAAATTGCCAGTTCCACAATAATTTTGTTTAGTTTTAGCCTATGAACACGACTGAATGCAAAGTTTCTGTGCTCAACGTGAATTTATGTTTGTTTTGTCGTTATTTGAATACAGATGAGTTTTTTCAATTCCTTTGCGTTTGGAGTGCAAAATAGAGCTTCCAGCAGTGATGATGGTGTTTTTACGCTGTAGGATTGCTGAGGCAAAGTGCACAGTAGAGTTGCGAAGCAGTATACACAACATTCTTCAGGCGAGTCGTTAATAATCTGAATAAATTTCAACACAAAACTGGATGAAGGCTGAATATATTCCTTGTTAGTAATTCCTAATAAATCAGAAGATCAAGTCTAAAGTATCTTTCTGTTTTTCGGTTCTTCATTCATCTGACATGAATAGTTTGATTGCAATTTCGCTGACTTTGACACTGAGTAGTGAAGGTTAGAAGTATTACAGGGAACCTAAATTACTAAAGCTCTAGATATGTCTTGCTGATATATGACAGTAAACATGACACCGAAATCAACTTCCACCTACCGACTAATCCCTTGCATTATTTAATCTACAACTAGTTATCTGATCTATAAGGGAATAATATGTCCAGTAATTACAGCAGGAAAAGATACTTATCAGTAATATCAGAAAAGAAAGGAAGAGGAGAAAGATAACTAGGTTAAGAAAAAGGAAAATTATTGTATAGAATCTAGTTTGTGGATAATTAGAAAGAAAAAGAATAGAAAATAACAATAATAATCATGGATCTTTTGACTCCTGAACTGATTTTAGCCAAAAGTTAATTTTTATGGCGTGAATTAGAACAACAGAGTTGAAAAATGTTTAAATATCAAATAAACAGGCGTTTTCAAGTGTTGGTTTGTAGGGATTTGATTGGTTACAGGATTTCATCATGAGCTGACATTAGTTAGAGAACCATTGGAAAACCTGGGAGTACTGGACAGCTGTTTCCATCGTCCTAGTTTGCGACTCTTCAGCAGTACGCACCCACCGGGATTCGAACCCAGGTAGGTAGTCACCTGGGGTTCTAGTGAGAAGTCGTGACCAGTAGGGTGCAGCAGGTCGGGTGTGAGGACAAATACTCGCCGAAGACATTGGCTAGGGGTCGTGCTATTTCGTGAATTGGCAGAAGTTAGAATTCATGGACCATTGGATCGGGTCCCAGTGGCTTAATGTTATACGAGCTCGCCTTGTAACCAGAAGGTCCTGGGTTCGAACTACCTGTGGTGGGTGCGTACTGCTGAGGAGTCCCAAACTGGGCTGACGAAACAGCTGTCCAGTACTCCCTGGTTTTCCAATGGTTCTCTAACTGATGTCAGCTCATGATCAAATCCTGTAAACAGGCGTTTTCTTTTGAAGTGGGTTAACTCTACGTATATGTGCATATTTATACCAAATAAATGATATTCTTCTAAGGATATAGCCTGTTCATATCGAAAATTAGTAGGATGTCGCATCATTTTTGTATATCAGAAGGCTATATCAGCCAAAACTGTATGAGCTGTTTGATTTACTTTAAAATCAGAACCTCGGTTCTCTAGGCTGACCATGTTTTTCATTCAGTTACTAGAATTCATATGATGAGTTGTTTAAATACTACATAGTTATTATTAAAAGTATTTAAGATAACCAGTGATGGGAATTCTACTCGAGATCTGATAAGCAACAAGTAGAATACACACACTCACGGGGGATTGCTAAAGAAACTTTCATTGATATAACAATCAGTAGGATTTAATTCGTGTATAATAAATTCAGCTTCCTCTGGTTGACGATAGCAGCATGTGATAATGTTGAGCTGTTAAGTGCGATCCACTAATTTCCTTGTGTGGACAGATAACCCCTAGTAAAGTCGAGTCACCATTGTGCTAGATCATGAATTTTTAGAAGTTAACAATCACAGACTGGGGATGTTTGACTTAATGATCGAATGACTATGTAGTTGGCCTTCGATGGCCTCTCTTCTCATTAGTTTACCGGTTAACACTACTTCCGAACTTTAAACTGCTTGCTTCATTGGTGATTCGTTTGACTTATCTCATTTTATTTCAATAAGACAATCAGAAGATTTTTCGCTTCTTGTGTTCCAAGTGGAATATACGACTTCAACTCTCTGAAATTTTAGTAATAGCCGTGTAGTTTTTCTAGCAGCAGGTTTGATAGCCTCATGCTTAGCCTTCCTTCTTTTCCAGGATTATAACTGGTTAGCAAACTAGGCGAGGTTTTGGAGTGCGTCAACAGCCAGTCGGATCTGAACCACAGGTATCGCTGGCGGGCATTCAACCACTGAACCTCTGACGGCATTGTAGTTTCACTATGGTCACTTTTCAACTAGCATGATTAAGAGTGATCAAATGTGAATGTGTGTTCAATCAGCTGTAGTAGGACCCTGATAACTGTTATTTTGGTTCGTTTCAAATTCTGTTTCGAATCTAGATTTTAATGAACTGTTCAGCGCCAATAATACCTAGACATTTCACGTTAACATTGGTGAATTCGGTTTATAGTAACACAAGCATATACTTGAATTATTCCATTCGTGAACCTGATCATTATACTATTACATTCCGCTTTTCTGGCTACTTTACATATTTTGGTGAGCTAATACTGTAGATCTGTATCGAATTATGACAGAATAGACTGACACTAAACATCAGAAGTCAGTTAACAGAAATCTCCGCTTCAAATAGACTTCACACTCATTAGTATTCGCCAGGTAGGCGTAGCTTTGTGAAGTATAAAACTTGGGCACTGTGGTAGGGTATAACTCCATTATGGATAAGATTTTATTTTGATAAATCACACAGTGTTGTACAGTTATATTAGCTGATGACGTTTCGAGCACAAAGTGTTGCTCATAATCATATCAAGTTGGTGTGATATGATATGATATTCCGCACCTAAATGTACAGCTTCAGAACTGAGATACTGAGACAACCACTGAGAGTGTATGGGTGGTGGATTAAACTCATAATCCTTTAATGTTGATCTAATTCCTCTGACTAACTTTTCAGTGTATTTATAAAGTTAAGAGACATTCAATTGTGTATACGTGTTTTCCCTTTTATTATGCCAGTTAATTTCAAAAATACCAAAGACAGTCAGTAAACACATATTCATACCTTTTCGTGTTCCACATAGCTGTTTGTATCAATACACAGAAGTGGTCCACCACTGTCTCCTTGACAGGTATCTCCATCCACATATCTTCCACCGGCACATAGATAACTGTTACTAGAATCATCAGCGGATGTGCCCTTGATCCAAAACTCCGATGAGTGTTCTTCTTCTTCTTGCTCGTGTGATCTCCATTCCCCTTCATTATTTCTATTCTCCTCTTCTACTTCTATTTTATTCCATAACTTATTACACGACTGTAAGTGTACAAATGCAATATGAAGATCTACACTAAATAAAAATTAAATTACAATTCTATATATATATTACTGATAAACTTATACAATTATCCGAATTTGAGTTCGCCGGACTTCGATATTTTAAATGGCCAACACCTGCAACTAAACATGTATACTTTAGATTATCAGTGAATAATTTCTCATTCATTAGTAAATCATTTCTTATATCCATCAGATTGTACAATTCATCTGCAGATGATTCAATTAGTGAATGTTTTAATTTAATTAATGCAATATCTGGTGAAAAACTTTGACCTTGTGTGAAGTTTGAATGCAGGATCAATGTTTCAACTGATTTTGTAATACCTTCAGGTTTAAAATATACAGTTGAGTTGTGATGGTAATAATTTAATTTGGTTACTTTTAGATGTCTAATACCACTTGGAAAAACACAGTTATTAGGAAAATTAAATTTCATACTTTTCAAATGGACTGATACAATGAGCTGCAGTTAATACCCAATCACTGTTAACAAGTATTCCACCGCAAAGATGTCTTGGTCTTATTGACTGAAATCGGCTCCAGGCATAATTAATTGAAACAAATCGATCCAACAGGAATTTGAGTAAACTGTTTGGAATTTGTACAGTATGAAAAAAAGAGTTTTGTGCAATTTCTCTGTCATGCATAGTTTTCTCATTATACATTTGATTCATATTTGATTCACTAGTTATCTGAACTATTTCTGGTCGCATAAAATCTAATTCTCCGTAGTGATTGACAAATAAACGGAAACCTCCATAGATTACTGGTTGAATAGAATTGTTATAATGAGAGTTCACATTATCTGAAGAATTGTAGAAAAGGCAGACAACTGCAATGGTTAGCTCATTATTATAGTATCGCTTTAAGAATTCATTCATTAACAACTAAGACGCTCTTTAGGTCGTCTTGACAATGAATGGGATATTTTCGATTCAAAAAAGTCAACCGAAAATTCATATTCAAGTATTGGTTTGTAGGGATTTGATTGATTGGTTACAGGATTTCATCATGAGCTGACATCGTAGAGAACCATTGGAAAACCTGAAGGGAGTACTGGACAGCTGTTTCGTCAGTCTAGTTTGGGACTCCTCAGCAGTACGCACCCACCACAGGGGGTTCGAACCCAGGACCTCCCGATTACAAGGCTAGTGAGCTCGCAGACCATTAAGCAGCAGCCACTGGGACCCAACCCGATCCGATGGCTAGCCAGTCCATGAATTCTAACTTCTGCCAATTCACGACATAGCGCGACTGGCACTAGCCAATGTCTTCGGCGAGTATTTGTCCTCACACCCGACCTGCTGTACCCTACTGGTCACGACTTCCCACTAGAACCCCAGGTAACACTTTTTAAATCGAGATCATGTTAAATCTGTCTTAGACAGTACCTTTTTCTTTCAAAACACTAGACTGCTGAAATCCAATACTTCAGTCGTCACTTAAAAAAACAATTTAGTTAAATTAGATTACCATCCTAGGGAATTTTATTGCTCATCAATAAAACTTAATGTGTTTGTCTAAGGAGACATGGAAATGTACCTATGACGCGTGTTTTTTTATAATTAAAAAAGAACTGTTGGACAGATAAATTTAAACAAATCTGATAGAAATAAGTACTAACTTGAATAATTGTCTTTTATTTTTAACTATTATTCCTTGTCTAAAATTCACCGAAAGAAATTCATCTGTAAAGAGTCCATGTTTGAGCATGCGTGTGTACACCTACGGAAGTTTTATCAAATCAGGGCACGTTTCCTCAGTAGATCAAAAATCCACAGTTTGTGACTACAACTAAGAACGGTGACCGTAAACCAGTATTGGATCAGATGATCTTATATTATACACATGCTGATCTCGCCTTCATCATAAATGATAGTATACATAATGTGTACAAAATCCTCAAGCCTATGGTGCTGTTGGGCTTTCTGAACTGAACAGTTTGATTGTAAAGGTTTCATTATCCTTCTAGCCCACATCATTAGTGCTAACTTCAAAATGTAGATGTTGCGTAGAAGGATAACATGACAGCATTACAATTGAAACACCAAGCTTCACGAACACAACAATACATTAACTCATTTACCTAAGCCACAGAGCCTCTTCATTATTTCAAAAATATGAAGTGTTTAGCGAGTGTTATAAGTTATTAGAGTTTACTTCGAGATGTAAGAACATACCGTAAAATCGCATCGGTACAAATTCCTATCTGGATGAGTTCTGTGGCCTGGATGATTTAATGACGATGCTTTCATTATCCTTCTAGAAAACATATTCAGCGGAAGCTCCAGTATTTTTTCTTATTCCTGTACGTTCCTAATGGAAAATAGCTAGGGCTCTGCATTTTAGGTAGCAGTGGTATTCATTTTTACGGGATGAGATTGCTAGCCTCATGCCCAACCTTCCCTCTTTACCAGTCTTATTACTGGCTTACCGAGGTAAAGGAGTGCGTCGGCCAGGGATCGAACCCCGAGCCACCTGTATGGTTGGTGAACATTCTACCGCTGTGCCACTGATGAACAAGCTCCATTATTCAGATTCAGATTTATTGGTTGAGGATAGAAGGCTTGGAGCCTATGCTAATCCTTTCTAGTAAATTTCTGTGGTTGTTCAAACCCTTCTTAAACGAATCAGTTGAGGTTGCAGACACCAAGAGTTTATATCTCGATGTGAGAACCAGTACTCAACAGCAATATGATTTATTCTTGGCTTTTGAACTCCCCCGCTATGTCCTCTAAGGTGTTCCGACCTGGTGGGAAGGAAAAGAGAGAATAGGTCAGGTCCGTAGTCATTATTTAAAATTTTAAACATTGTGATTAAATCTCCTCTCTGCCTACGGTATGACAGGGAGAAGAGATTTAAACTGTCTAGTCTTTCCTCGTATGATAAATTAGTCATGCCGAGAACCATACGTGTTGCCTTCCTTTGAACCCTTTCTAGAATGTGTGAGTCCCTTTTTAGACAAGGACTGGCGGCCTGGATGCAGTTTTCCACTCTTGACCTCACCAGAGATGTATATAAAAATTCTCTATCATAGAGTATATTCTCGGCTAAATTCCTATTTTTGTATTGGTTTTCTCCCATTTGTTACTGTCACCATTATTCGGGCATAATGACAAGCGCCTAATTTGACATTGAATGACTGTCAAGATATATATACATATACTGCAAAATGGCAGCGGTTGGAAAGTGTTGTTCATCTGAGTTCTACCCGTCGTTTCCTGAGTGATAATGTAATCGATAAAAAAGTTATATTTATTTAATTCATCACTATATGAAATACTAGACAAAAACTGCTAAGTTAACTTCTAAGACATCTACACAATGCAGAACATAGATGAAGAAAATACAGATGTGAAGAATATGTACAGGGTCTAGGATAGCTTGGTGTTAACGATTAGAGTCCACATAAGTGGTTCCATTAATACTAGTTGAACTCAATAGGCAATCAATGATGAATGAATATGAATAAACAAAAATTAGCAGCAAAATAGCGGCTATACTGCCTTCGTTCTCCGTCAGGTTTCTATTCCCTAGTCAACTTTGCTGGGTGTTGGATAGAATCCAGAGTGTTTCAATAGGTTTCTCCGCTTTGCTCGCCCATTAGTATGCAAAGAGCATACACGCTGAACTACAACTAATATCTTCTGCTTTCATGCCTCGCATTAAGTGGTTGATTTGTGATTTATTCGATACAAAGGATAGGTAAGCAAAAGTCAGCTATATAAGTCATAGCTTACCATCACAAGTTAACACAAGAAATTAAACGGTTGGAGGCAGTCGGTAGGAAGCCTTGGAACTAGGTTTCGTGGTAGTTGGCACTTACTAGTCAGCAGGGCGGGTCTGCAACCTAGATGGAACTCATGTCCCTTCTGGGATTCGAACCCGTGTCACGCAGTGCCATCTGCAGTCAGAGACATTACCACTGAGTTATTCGGGTTCACCAATGACCTCCTGTAGGACTGTATTGAATATTTTTGATTGAACACTAGCAACTGGTGTGATGCACTAAAGAAAGAACTAGGTGCATCACACCAGGTACTAGTGTCCAATCAGAATAACACAAGGCAGTCCTAAAACAAGTCACAAATGAATTAAGTTGACAGTGAAACAGTTAGACGAAGGATAACTTGACACACTCGTTTTCATGGACATGCTACAGGACGACTTCATTCTGTCATTCGTCCAAACAAAACAGGCTTCAGTAACTAGGTTGGTTGCACAATTTCACTCAATATTCTGTCAGCCTAAATTGATATCAGCGCCTGTATGAGTTTACCACTACTATCGACCCCTATAAATCTATCCATTAAATTCATGTAAGTAAACTTGAATTATAGTGATCGTGGTTGTACCAAGTCTCTGTATTGACTAAAACTTTCACATACAGCTTTAAAATTTAATGAGGAATTTACACTTAAATACATTGTCTAACAATTATATTGTTTACTTCCGGTGTTTTCTATGATTCCTTCTACATCTCTATGTATTTCATTGATAAAAATGATAATAGACAAGAATTTACGCAAAAGAACCTTAAAAATTACACATATATACATTTGTTAGCTAAAACTATACATCTCGCAAACAGTTTAGTATTGAATTATTGATACTACATTCCTTTTTTGTGTGTATACTATCCGATTCAATTTGAATGCCGTGGGTGAAATGAACAATGGATAAAACTCGTAGGAATTCCTAATGTCTATTCTTAAAACAGAGAAAAAAGGAAATTAGGACGGTGGGTAGGCAACTGAAGCAGCCACATAATAACAACTGAGTTGATGAGGCAACAAATAGATATATGAGAAAAGGTCTTCCTCCATGATACTATCTCAGTAGAAGGCTTTTTCCCCATAAAGCTGAAGAATCAACTCACAGTAAGCCGAATTGTTTTTCTCACACTGATAACACCTGAATAAATCACATTTTGTCTAAAGTGAAACACTGATAATTTTATTAATCAGATTAGTTGCATTAGACTGAGTAGGCAGCATACGCAAAAGTTATTCAGACGAGTTAAACTTCAGTTCACATGCCATAATAAGTGAGAAATCCGTCCTTTATTTCCTTCTATATTTGTATAATATTCTCCCCATAAATCTTTTTAAACTTTAAAGATTTAGGTGTGTGGTGTTGAATTGATAAACAAAGCTTCAGTGATTAACCTTTCTGTGTCTCCACCTAGCTATATTACTGTTTAATACTCTCACCCTGTCCCATCCACCCGATTGTGTGATTACATGGAAGTGAATGCGGTGCGCTGCAATGTCTGAGCTTTCTTCTAGGTTATTTAACTTAGTAGGGTCAATTATCCTAGGTCAAGCTGAATTTTAATGTTCCAATAATCTAGTTGACCCCGATCTACTAATTTGACCTATGTAATTGACCTCACAGTCAGCATTACATGGTATCTGGTAAATTATATTGAACTTTTCTCAATTGGATCTATTGGGTCCTTAAGCTGACAACGTTCATCTCGGAGAGAGTTGTTTGGTTGGTTTAAATGCCACCCTAATTCTAGCCTCATTGAGGATCCTACTTAAGGCCTTTAACGTCCCCTATTTATACGGTACTACTAGGGAGGCTTTGAATTCCAGATTATTTTCGTCATTTTTATTGCTAATCTTAGTTTTTCTATGGTTCTTCATGTGTTTTTGAATAAATTCTGGTGGGTAGTTGTTCACTAGTAATGCTTCCTTTATTTTTTGATCTTATCGCTACCCCATTCGTTTGTTTATATAGTTTATTTAGAAATCTGAATACAGTAGAGGTTAAAAATAACTGAACACCTAATACTATTTCATCAATCGAGAGCTTAGTCCTTTTTTTGAGCAATGAGACCGAGCACTTCAGTCCAATCCATCGACGGGAAAATCTA